GCACTACTTTATAGTATATGTGGTAAACATTCTCCCGTCAGCAAAAATGAAGACGTCGCCTACAAATTTGCACAAGAATTTGGAAGTGACTTGAACTTTTTGAAGGACACGCCTACAACAAGCCAACATGCCTATACGACAAAAACTTTTATTTTGAAAATAGAAAAATCTACTGCCTCCACTCCATATTACAGAGCATGAAAATTTAAATTGTTTACTTCGTTGGTCTTTTTAGGGTAACGGTGATAAGGTATAAAAGATTCGGTCCCGACCGAATTTAATTTTCTTACTTGTTTTTTGGATTATTTTTTTATGGTTTTAGGCCAAACGCATTGTACCATAGATTTTGAATGGGTTAATAAAGAGAATTTAATTAAGTAAACATCGAAATGTTTTGAAATATCATATATCGTAGTATTTGTGGGCAAAAAGACTGACGACTGAAGACTGTATATACATATATGCTAAGGAATGGTGAATGAATAATAAAACTAAAATGTGCATATTTTTTTCGAGTTTTTCGAAATATTAAAGCAAATGTGAAAAAAAAGAGAAGCGAATAAAGAATCTATTGCTAAACTAGTGCCAACCAGTAGCACATTATAGCACATGATTAGCAAATAAGCAGAATAAAAAACGTTCTATTTTTAAACGGAAAAAAGCTTTCAAAATACAAAGCAACAAGCAAAAGAATCAATAAATAAGAAAATGAAAAAAAAAAAAAAATAAATAAAATAAATAAATAAATAAATAAATATATACATATATCTATATCTATATATATATATATATATATATATATATTGAAATGTTATCGAAATCTAGAAAGAATCTTTTATTAGATGATATCCGAACCACATGTACACGCACATTGGTGCGTAAAACAGAACAAAACTGCAAAAAAAAATATAAATAAAAGAAAATTTTTTGGAGAAATTTATTTCGGTAGAGGCTCATAAATACTGGATGAAAAAAATTGTTATTTAGCGATTTCAAAGTAGAAAAAAAAAACTTAGAGATTTTTCTTCTTTTTTTTTCTTACGATAAGAAAAAGAAGAAAAATTATTATATCCCATACTGATTTTGTTCATAAAACTGGAACAATAAACATCGTATCTTTCCGTTTTGGAAGCAAAAATATATACCGCATGTATGGTATAATTGTTTGTATAAATGCTCATATTCCAAAGAATTTGCTATAAATCTATAAGAGAAAAAAAAATTTTTTTTTTTTAAACTTATTCTAAAAATTCTCGAATGATATAGTGTTTGAGGCAAAGTCTGTGTATGTTCTTTCCATAATTTGATTTTGTTCTTATCATTCTACCCGCCCTCATGGAACCATTCCTTATTAGTAATTCTGTAAAAATGCGCTCGAATTGAAACTTTTTTTACTTTTTATTTCGTTTTGATTTTCAGTCAAGTGTGATTTTATGAAAAGGAAGAACACGGAAATACAAGGAGCGAAAAGGGGCAATTATTACGGCAATCTTTTCTCGATGTGTTCACTAAATCTAGAGCAGGTATATCTCGCTACGAAAATGCCGCATTGGATTAAATGAGCCAGTTTGAATAAAAAACAACCGATTTTCTAAAAAACCAAATCCTAAACAAGAACATTGTAGTCAGGCAAGGCCGACCCTTAAATACCCTACACTACTTCTCCCAGTATAATTATTCGCTCGTTTTGCTAATAAGACACCGAAAATCACACATGATTGTCATGCAAAGACCAGCATTCCACGAAAGTCCGCATATTTTACGATGCCCAAAACATCGTATGACGTGATCCCAATTTTAGCAAACTTAACTTATTTCCCAACAATTTTATTATTTTTCAATTCCGGCTACAGAAAACCAGAAATTATACTTTCTCTTCATATAAAAACTTGATTTCATGGTAACCCTTATATGTTAGGATCAAAAAAATAGGCCTATGTGGTTCAAATTTCTTACTGTTAGCTTCTTCGGTTACTTTACTACTATGGCGAAATTTTCATGACAAAATAATCAAAATTAAACCTTTTTCTGGCGGGATTAGTGTTTACAAGAAATTTGATATCGAGTGCAGAAATAGATTCATGTAATTCCAAATTGAAGATGTCGAAATATTACTACGTAACGAGTTTTGTTGAACAATTTTGAAAGTTACCATTTTTCGAGTGCTCGAAAATCTCAAACGACCCGCGCAATTTTAGATGGTGTTTGTCCTTGAGTCAAAAGTGTCGTTTCAGTAAATGATTCCAAATCGATCGGTGTAATGAAAGCCGAATCTACCTTAAGCTCTTCTGTGTCCGCACAAACTCAATATATCGTGCACCACAAGTGGTGTAGAGTAAAACCAAATAAACAATTTATGAGTATATAGCTGCGATGGAAGGATTAAGAACAATTCGCAGAACATTTCACAGGTAAAAAGAGAGTAGCACGAAAATGTGACAATGAAATCTGGTTTTAATAATCTGCTTGTAAAAAGAATATATATGCCGAGTATTAGCGGAAGACATAGTCAGTCGAGTCAAGAAAGTCGACTCGTAATGAGCTTAATTTCCTTGAGAGCGTTTCGCAATACAATATCTAATAAAAAATTTCTTGTCTTCTTCTGCAGTAAATTTTTAGTTATTCTCTAAGTTGAACACAAGAATATATGTGGGGCAGACAAGCTCAAATCAATCTTGAATCAATCGGTCTAATAAACGATGGGTCTCTCTAAAGTGCGCGTAGGTGTAACATACATCCTCACAAACTTAATATACCCTTGTACCACAAGTGTTGTAGGGTATAAAAATTGTTCTAAGCAGCATAATTTGCTTTTTGAAACCAACCAATCAAGGCATGTCCCCGACATGTTCGAACGCGGTGCCGGCCAGCAAGGATTATTATATATAGGAAAGAATAGAGGAGTAAGAGGAATAATACGTTTGGGTTGGAAGTGGAAATGCCTGGAGTCAAAGAACGACGAATTACAGTAGTGTGTCTGTGCGGTACGTGGGCATGCATACTTAACAGAAGCTTGTACGAACACATGAATGCCATTATGCTGGCCATCTACCATCTCCGCTCAATGTTTATCTTAAGGAATATATAAGTGATCTACTTCTCATCCTTCTTAATCTTCATCACTTCATGGTAAAAAGACTGTTAAGTCGCTATGACAGAAAATGATCGCAATCGTGCGATTGACAGCTACACATAAAATGAAATATTACGGACTCAGGGAATGTCTTCTATTCGCGTAACCAGGTGGAGGTAAGAAAGAGTAAGAAGAGGAAAGTGAAAGACAGAAAGAAAGGAACAGAGAGATGGTGGCCACAATCAAGTAAGTGTTTTGGTTGTACTGACTGAACACTTACTATAGCTACGACCAAAAGTAAACTCTGCCGCACTTAGATTTGAACGGCCTATGATACTACATATGAAATTCAGATTTTTCAATTGTTTTATACAAACAAGAGCAGCCTCACTAAAGCAACTCCAACTTGTAAGCTAATCATTGGAATGTAACGAAATTGTAAAAATCAAACGGACATCTATATTATTACCCTACGAAAAGTATCGAGTGATGTGTTACAACTCCCAATATATGTATATGTTATAATAAAGCACTGTAACACTAAAGAATTTAATAATAAATCATATCAATTTTCCTTAAGTCACAGTCCTTTACTTATAATCAAGATACACTACCCACGATATTATTATCGATTAAATATATTAGTAAGTATTTAAAAAAAAAAAATGAAAATTCTCATTTGTTTCGCGAGAAACTCTCTAACTTTTCAATCGCAATTTATCCAGGAAGAAATGCTCTAATAATTTAAGCTGAAGCTTTATTAAAATAATAAAAAAAATATTGAAAAACATTTTAGTTAGCACTACGAACAATTTATTATTTACAAATTAACATGTACGCATAAAATGGGGAACTTGAAGTCGGGCGCCGTTCGCAATTTGTTTGATGAAAATTCCGAGTTAAGGAAACGAACTGATTCACACGTTAAAACAATTTCTTTAACTCGGGCAACCTATACAACACCGAATACTCTTTAGGTCTAAACGATTCATTATGAGAGGTAATTAGGGGGAAAAAGTTACTAAAGCGATAGAGGAATTTTAGTTGGAATATCATATGTTAGTTAAATGTACACTTAGATCGGCATCAGTCGGCTTATATGTGAAAATGCGCCTTATTTTAAATTATTTCATCATATCTATTCGGTTTTTTCTTTATTTTTTCGATCTGTCGAAAATCTGTTGTCATATTTTGTAAAATTAAACTTTTTAAAAATGTTCGAAAGATCAGGTACTAAAGTCCACTGAAGATCTGTTTGGATGGATATTCAGAAAACCAAATAATTAAGGATTTTTGAAAAATAAAAACGAAAAAAAAAAAATGTGAAAACAAGTGAACATTTTGAATATTCCGTTAAAGGTGAAGTTGCTGGGAGTGCACGCAACAATTAGTTACTATTCACCTTTGCCGATTTCATATCATTATCAACAACTGAACCAATTATCATGATTGTTTGAAGTAAATTGAAATGAATGCAGGCAACGCGGCCCATTTATAAACACAACAAAGCCGGGGAGGAAGTGATCTTAACTGCTTCGGTATGCTTTCTTCCCGCATATGAAATGAATAAGCATGAAATCTATCTATATATTATTTCCTTTTTACGTCGTATTAAGCTCACCCCAATAGTTTTTAAGTAATTTCATGTTCTCAAATATGATAAAAATATAATAATAAATGTATCATAACATTATTTGTAACGATAATATTGGATCTGGGTTGTAAAGAAAAATTCGCAATGTTGAATGTTGAACCGAGACGAGAGCGTGAATCGAAAGCAACATCAAAAGATATTTGTTATCATTTTTGTATCGCATTTAATTTTCTTTCAATTTATCACCTAAGCATCAATTTTGCGATATTTTTGATTAATAAGGGATTATTCAAATTTCATATAATAGGCGTTAATAGAGATTCTTGCACTTACTTTCTTTTGTTGTTTTTCCCAGGCCGGATCTAAAAGGCCCTCCCTTTCCCATTCCTCTTCTTGCTCCATGTAACCATCACCGTACTCCATACTGGAGAGACCATTCTCCATCATCATTTTGTTATCGTTTTTCTGTTGTTTTTACTATATTTTAAAAATTGTAACGTTTTAATTGTTAACGTTGACAAAAAACTTTTTTCTTTTTTTTTTTTAATGATTAATCGCTAAATTTTGAATTTTTTTATTATTTAATAAAATTTAAATAAATATAAATCTTACTTTCGTTGATATTAAATATTTTTCACAATTCTTTCTCTTGTTCTTTTTTTTTTCTGGTTTAATATTTTTGGCGTTTTATTTTTAATGGTTTATGCGATTGAATTTATAGATATATATATATATATATATATATATATAACGAGTGGATAGAATTTTAACAAATTTTTGGAAAATAAAGCAAAAAAATTCTTATTTTTATTCTTCTTTTTTTATATAATTATTTGTTTACTTCTCAAACTATGGATGGTAGATTTTTTAATAAAAGAAAAATTATATAAAAAATGTAACTTTCAATGACTGTGTTTCGTTCGCTGTATTCTTAAGATTAAAAATTCTGAAAAAAAAGATGCAGAAATAAAAAATAAATAAGAAATTTTACGAAATTCACAATTTTTTTTTTTTTTTTTTTTTTTGCAAAAGTCGTGGTGAAATGCTTTTCTTTTTCGAAAAAGCTAAAAAATTAAAAAAAAAACATTTGTTTTTTACTGTATAATTTTAAACATGATGTTTTTACACCCCCATCGCAAAGCGGCGATATACTGGCTATGTCTTCCCCAGGTGAACGTTGACAATATCGTAAACTACATTCGTAATACCGTAATATATGCTGTACATATACATATCAAATTAAATACGTGAGTGTGCACGCTTGAAATAGTTAAAATGTGAAGCTAAGTAAATTTGAAAGATCGTGTGATATTTTCTCAATGTCAAGATCGGACATTTACGATGTTTTTAAGAACAACAATAACAATTTTCATAAATTTTGTATCTTTTCGTGCTTGACTTTTCATTTATTATTAGAAAGACTTAAGACATATCCACCTTTTATTGTACCAACCGATTCAAAATCACGTTCTGCATCGATATACGCTTGTTTGTCCGTCTGTCTGTCTTGTTTTCTTGTGTTCAACCTAAAGGCCGCAATTTTTGAGATGTTTCGATAAAATTTATTGCATCGCCGTGTTTTGACCCTGAGCCGAAAGCTACTGCAAGTGGTTTGGATCGGACCACTTCTTCGACCGCTTCTCATACGAATGTCCTCATATGCATAACTATATTAAGCGAAGAGGTGTATGGGATTTAATGGTGAACCTGGGGTCCTAGCATAGTGTTTTCACTTGTTTTTTTTTTTTATATTTTAAAATCGAAGAGTATTATTTTCCCATGATATCGTACGTAGGTATTTCATCCTTCTACGCAAATTATCTAAATTTAAATTTTCAATGTCAGCAGAAGGACCGGAAGCTAAGCTTTCCTACTGTGGGCTGTTTGATGCATGCTTTACGTGAAGAAACGCTAACTAAGGAACTGAAACCGAGTGAGCACTGTGCGCAGTTTATAGCAACCGCGCATCGGCTTTCAGGCATCATATTCATGTCAATGCGTTTAATATTTATCGCACCAATCGCATGCGACACTAAACTCTGAAGCTTTACCTAATATGGACTTATTTTATCAAAATTCTTACAGCTTATGACGATGTTGTCATCGGACCAAAGTTTTTTGCAACAAACAAAGAGACAAGATCATAATAGTCACTCCCTGGCCAAAGCTATCTGGTTATTTGGAATCGAATTCAACAAGGCGATGTAACACAACCAGAATAATGAATGAATGTTTAATTCATTCGTTCCTAGGGGTATAAGGGTTGATTAGATGCTTTTGAAATTTTTTTTTTTAATACTTCCGCAGTATATCCATAAAATTTATTTTGGGAATATAAGAAAGATAATTTTTGTATCAAATGTTATAACCCTTTGCATACCTATATTATATTTATGTGTATATTTATATTTATATATTTATTGTATATATATACATAGTTTTTATTTTATACATATTGTTACGAAAATCCCAAATTCAGTTAGTGTCGGCTAAGTAATTTTCGTAATAATAAATTCCCTAAATAAACTCGCAGGCGCGTCATGCAGGTGCAGGCCGATGAAAACGATTAGAGGAAAACCAGGCTGGGATTAGAAATAAAAGCATAAATTTAGGTATAGTAAGATGCTTGTGAAATTGTATATACATAGAATATTCGTGAAAAGTAGAGTTAGTCTGGCAAGAACGTAGAGGTTGAGAGTACGGCCAAAAATAAATTGTAAATAAATATTCCTACTGTTGTGAAAGACAAGGTAGTAAAATAAAAGAACTTTGAAGTGTATTTCCCTTGATCAAAATATCCACGATCTAGTGATACGGACTGTATCTTATAAAAGCGAATTTCGTAACAATATATATTTATTTATATATATATATATATATATATTTTATATATTTTTATTTATATTTCTTTTTTTTACGAATCACTAACTTTTTAATTAATTCGCGAAAAATGCATAAAAATTGATCTCAATAAAAAAAAAAAAAAAATTAATTAATCATTCGGAGTGTGATAGCTTAGTACTACAGTAGTATAGTAGTATAGTTTAGTGCAGAGTCTACTAACAAATACGATATCCATAAACAGTCGATATAGGAGTTGGAAGAGTTAAACTGTAGCTGAAGACGTCTTGTAAGTACATCAAAGTAGAACGGTTGCATAATATTTTTTGTTTTTGGCTGTCTGAGCCGTCTTACTCTCTACTAAAAAACAAATTGGAAAACTGCGCCTATTTTACATCCGTTATAATTGGAAAACAAATATAAGCTTGGAAAACAGACAAAATTTTCGTTATAACTTAATCAATAATAGTTTACTATTTACAACAAATTCCAATCTACGATATAGTAAGGAACCTAACTAACAACAGATCAAATAATAAGGAATGTAGCGACGAATTCAAATTCCGGGCTAATAAGCTTTATATTCGGTTGCAATCGAATCTTTTATACCCGTCACCCTTATTCTAAAAAAACTAAAACAAGTAAAGAAAATCAAATTCGGTCGGGATCGAATCTTTTATACCTACCACCATTATCCTAAGAAAGACAAAACAAGTAAAAGAATCAAATTTTCATGCTCTATAATATGGAGTGGGGGCAGCTGATTTTTTCAATTTTCAAAATAAACGTTTTTGTCGTATAGGCATGTGGGTGTTGTAGGCGTGTCCTTCAAAAAGTTCAAGTCACTTCCAAATTCTTGTGCAAATTTGTAGGCGACGTCTTCATTTTTGCTGACGGGAGAATGTTTACCACATATACTATAAAGTAGTGCAGACGGACCGATAGACAGAAGAACAGGCGGACATGTTTGGGTGCATTCCAAATTTGAAGCTGGCCAAGAATTCGTATACTTTATACGATCTTTGAAGCTTGTTTCTGCGCTTTATAAAGTTATTAAAAAAACAATTAAAATTTAATACACCACAATATTGGGTAGACGCGGTCAACATTTTCCTTTTTGTGCACAAATGTTACAGCATCCCTCATAGAATATCAAATCAACAATTTTGTACATTTATTTACTGTAGTTTACGAGTAATGTCGTTTTTAAAAACAAAAATGTTCTTAGTTTACGTGGTGCCGTATGCGTGTCCTTGGACCGATTTGGCCCATTTTTAATAACAGCCTCCATGTAAGAACTTCGAATATTTGTGCCATTTTTGTGGCCAGGAGAATTTTTACAACAGACGTTACACAGACGCACAGACAGGCAGAAGGACTTGCTTAAACCGATTTGGAATTTGACGCCGATCAAGAGTGCATATACTTTGTGCGGTCTCTGACACTTCTTTCTAGATGCTACATTTTCGGTGATATTCATCTAAAGCAGTAAGTTTCCAAGGTTGTACCCAAACATGAAAAAACCTCTATTCAAATCGCTATCTAACGAATTTCCGATTCATTCAGATGCATCATAACTGCAAAGAACTGTAGAAAAGCCTAAATTAAATCTAATTTAAATTCTACGCCAATTAACGACATTATCGTTTTGTCGTCAAATATAAAATATATGACGGAACCAATATGTATTTCTGTTACACAAGTATCAAGGAATCGTTCTTTCAAAAGTCCTCCGTAGTTGGTATTGCGAAAGTAATTCAATAGAAATGTTGAATAATAGAGCTTAATAAGGCTTAATGGGGTCTCAACTAACTACGCTTGAGTTTTCACCCTCTCTCCTTTCCAGCTTTTTTTTACGAACAAAATTTTCGCATCAAGAATCCGAAGCAATTTCTCTGGTTTCAAATGCAATTTCGTTAGCAAAATGGCCTTGATAGCCTTATTAATGTTGAAAAAGCGTTAAAAAAAAGTTGGCCAATGGTTGAAGACTTGTATCACTCTGTCCATCCATCAATATCAACCACGGAGAAACACTGTTGATAAAATCAAGATAATATTTTTATTGTTGTAGAAAGTGCTTTCCTTTGTACTTGAATAATATACCTATGTTAACATGACGACGTTGTCTGCGCTGTGCGCGTTACAGAACATTTTATTACTTACAAAATTCGAAAGCCTCCCGTCTAAGTGGTCGAGTACAAAAGAATCGCGACTGCCAAGCCGAGTGCACGCGGATTCAAGTCTTAGTGCGTTAAAGAACACGCTTGGTTGTAGCTATAATGAGTGAATGCTTAGTCGGTAATGGTATAACACATACCGGCTGCACTCGCCGTCATGCACGCATTACAATGCGGCCACTACCTTCCCCCCTATCTTTCTCTCTTGCTTCATTTTTAGGGGACTTTGCCTGAATGATTGGTTATATTAAAAAAAAAAAATTATTTACATATCAGTTAAATAAATTCTATCTCGCGTTAACTCTCTTTATTTCCTTATGTTATTTGTAACAATGCGAATTTTAGAACCATGCAAGTCGCAATGGTAGCTTAATAATTTAATGAAGTGACGTCATATATTAGAAAAAAATATGCATCTGCACACAAGTCTCAAGCTCAAGAATCAAAGGAAGGTGGAATCAATTCAATGCGCCTCATGCATTATTACACTTGGCATGGGGTATGAAAGACTTTGAACGATGCACGGAATCTCAGAATAAAAAAATCTAAGCAAAATGCTCAAAAATTCGCCAAAAATAAATGAAACAAAAAAATTGCAAAAATTTTATTTAATCTTATTTTCATTATTAACCTAAGATTAATACCAGTATAGCGGTTAGGGCCGTCTAGAGATATTAAAACGAGAAGAAATAAAATCAGCTTCACACCACACTTCTATTCTCCAGAAAACAATTATTTATGCTAAGGAGCATCTATAGATTTACCATAAAACGAATATTGTTCTAGTTCTAGTGTTCAGGATCTTAAACTTGTGCATAGAAGCTGGCGAAGAACCTGCAGAATGTTGTTAAAATGCTATAAATTAAATACCCATGTTAAAGAAGAAGCAAAAAAAAAGAAGAAAAATACACTCTTTAACTGCAATAAACAACTGCTTATGACGCCTCTTTGAGAGACTCTCTGAGAGTAGGAGCGAGAGAGTCTCTGTCGTAACCACAGATATTTCAGGCAAATTATTTTACCTTTTCACTATTTTCTTTAGCCTCTTTCTTACTACCCTGCTTGTGTGTATGCGCGAATGTGTGCAACACCCAGAAAGACTTAAAATAATCCCATCTTTTATTATACCGATCGATTCAGAATCATCTTCCTGCTTCTTTAAGATTCTCTGTCCGTCTATCCATCGTGTTTTCTTGGACTACTCGAACTACTTTTCCGACCATTTCCCATATCACATCTTATTTTGAGAAGTCGTCATATGATTAAATGCAGGGTTTCGTAGGGTATTTATTCACAATGCACCGTCGCCCACTATAGTATTTTTACTTCTTCACCATTCTAGTCATCAAAAACGATGTGCAAACATTTACATTACTCTCCTGCCATGGTTATGTTTATCAATTCGAATATCAAATTGGACAGGAAGATAAAAATGATTTCGATTGAATTACAATTTTACACTGCGTAGCAGTGATACATTCTGATTTAGTAATTGGACAAAACAGTGCCTATCGCCTCAGTGCTATATATGAGCTTAGTTTTGTTAGCAAAGAACTATTACACGTATGCTTACACACATCGCGGACTCCATAGAGTATGTATTTATTCTTAGTTCTTGAGAATAAAGCAACCACTACAGTCAAGTCTTCTTATCTATCCTTTTGATCCTTCTGTTTAAAAGGTTATTACGATAATGGAAGTTTCTCTAGAAGCATAAACTTGGAGACTCATTAGATCAAGTTTAAAAATCAGCAAAATCGATATACATATCGATCCAGACGACATCGTCTATAGGGATTTCTGAAGTGGTTGTCATGACAAGGATTCATTTGTTACTCATACATTTGAAAATTTATGATGGATTCCTTATTAAGATGGCACCAGGCGTCATATGCGAGTTGTATGCGTACACTAATGACCACCTTTTCCCGATGGATGACCTAGCTCTAGAGGTTCGCCTCAGTGGCTCAGGAGCCGAGTACTAAGATTGATTATTCAATTCAAATTGGTTTTCATGGAAATCCAAGTGCCCGATAATGGCAAAATCAACTCAATACATTTTAGATCCCTTCGGGAATATATCAAGAAATGATGTTCACATAAGGTGTAGTACGTAAATATTGTTTTTAAAATTTTATATTGAAACGTAAGTGAAGAGATTTTTTTTTTTTATATTTTATTATCTACGTATACATATATATATATATATATATATATATATATATATATTTATATATATATATTTATATATAAATATATATATATATATATATTTATTCTTATATACGATATAATTACGACGATCTGCTAAAGACTTTCCGATTCGATTCAATCCCCACTATTAGTAGATATTTCAAAATTCGTTGTCTCTCTTTTATTTATAAACTTTTTGTGATTCATTTGCCGAAATCTATACATTTTTCAATCAGATTTAATCAGCTTTCTATCTTTCTATCTGGGAAGTTTTATTTAGTCGCTTGCAGCAGAAGATGGATTTAGCAAGTGGCCTATCGATGCTTTGCTACCACTAGCGCAAACCGAAAAAAGAAAGCTTTAATCCCTATCTGCATATCTATAGAATCCACGACATCTCTAACACGTGTTCCTGTATGCAGCCCTATGCCATTATGCTTTATCTCATCCAAACGGAAGTCAACTATTTCGACCACTAACTCAGCTCAAAAAGGAAAATTGCATTTGTCTAAGATATACAAAAAAAGTTAAAAAGAATTTGTTGTAAGGCAAAATTAATTGATTTCAACCTGTTGGAAAAATTGAAATTTTTTTTTTTTTAAAGCAAATCGTATTTTTGTTTTATTGCTTTTTCTTTTGTTTTTTGTCTGACTAAAATGCATATGAGAAATTTGCAAAGAGTCTGATTCGCATTGTTCAATGCTTCTTGGATAGGTCTCATGCATAAACTGCTCAAATATCTTTATATAGACATTCGACCTAAACTTTATCTGAAGTTCCTAAGCGACTTTTTAGATATTCTTCTCAAATATTTAAAATGTTTTTTGTCCAAAGTTTTCCATTTTTGATTGCAAATTATCTCAGTTCTCTTTCATTTATTTATTTATCTATTTTTTTTTTTTTTTTTTTTTTTTGGCAATTTCTTTTTTTGGAATTTATAGTTAAGATTTATTTTTAACTGTAAATTTATTTATTGATTTTGTTACGTTTCTTATGTTCATCAAGTTTTCATTGCGTTTACTTTTCTTTTGTTTTTCTTTCTTTTTTTTTTTTTTTTTTTTGTTCTGTTTTTTAGTTTATAATTATTTATTTATTTATTTATTATTAAATAAATTTTTAATTACATATTTTTATATATTTCCATATTATTCATTTATTTTTTCTTAATATTTTTTTAATTTAAAATTTCATTTAAATTTTATGATATTTATTTATAAGATAAATGATTATTATCAATATCTTTTTGGGATAATCTATCTATAAATTTCATTTTACAAATATAAAATTTTATATTAAAAAGTTTTCCACTTTTTTATATTATATTTTTTTTTTTTTCACTGATTGTATAATACTAAGAGTATTTTTATTCACACAAGTTTTTTAAATCTATGTAAGTATTTATACATACATACATATGTATATAAATATCTATGTGTGAATATTTTTGTGGTGCAAATTTTTAAAAGATATATTTTCTTAAAAAAAAAAAAATTATTTAAATTTTTTATTTCTTTTTTATCTAGACTATAGAAAGGCTTGATGCGTATGTGCGTTTAAATAAATCCATGAACTAAACATATTCGTATTGGAAAAAAAAAAAAATATTTTTATATTAATAAAAAATATAATATATGAAATATGTACGTGTGTAAACGTCGCTTCGCAAAGAGAATGACCCGCTCGCGTTGGTAGCCAACTCAAAACTAATATCGCCCCAGCTATAAACGTGCGTTCAATCTGAAAGAAAACTTTTGTACGATCGATTGGTCGATGCTCCGCTGAGCTTGTAAGATGTTGTGCTGTGGTTGCTGCTGCTGTTGCTGTTGCTATTGCTGTGAATGTTTGATCGCAGACGTAAACACAGTCCATATAGAAATGTGTATTGAATGCAAAGAAAAAGTAACGTAGAGCAAAAAAAAAAAAACAACGCTCTGCCTAAGAAACAACAACAAGAACAACAACATCAACAACAAATAGTAACGTCAACGTAGCGATCATTTAACAGAGAAAACAATCACATCACAATTACTTACGTATATTATTAATGCATTAGCTGAAGAAAATCAACTAAAATCCACTGCAACACCGTCAATACGCGACGGGACAGGAAATTCAACATTCATTCATTAAATCAATATACAATAATATGTTCATAGGGATATGCGTCGCTGATTACATTGACATTCATGTTCCAAATTTTTCCGCGCTTGTGATATCACAGAAAGTAAAACATAAGAACAGTTAAAGAGAGAGGGAAAGAAAGAGAGAGAGAGAGAGAGAGAGAGAGAGAGAGAAACAGAGAGAAATATTTCTGCGTACAGCAGAGATGTTTTATAAATAGCTTAAAACAACTTTGATTTGGTATACCATTGCTCTCTTAATTTGAATTCAATCATTTAAACACAGGCTTGTCCTATCCGAGGCCCGTGCACTTTATGCATGTATAGCAAAATTTACCCTATGGATGTGCACATATATATATACATATGTATCTTAGCATGGGAACGTGGCATCAAAATTTATTAAGAGGTTTTTTTTAAAAGAAAATTAAAAAACACTTCAAATGATTGCATTTATATAATGGTACGCGTGTAAATGTGAAATTCGGAAAATAATAATAAATAGGCCAACTTTTTTAAGATTTCTCTACAGGTTGCAAATTTTTGAAATATTTGGCGACAACTTTCTCCCTTTTTTTTAAAACACTTGGTGAATGATGGTATCTCGACATTGAAAATTGATGTGAAAAGGCAGTTGTCTGCATTGCCCTCCCAAATACACCACTGCTCTGCAAAGTAAGCCTTTATATACCAAAACTGTTTAATTTTTTTTGAGTTTATTATCAAAAAAGGTGAACATAGCAGTAATTTGAGATAAACATTAGCTGTGTATTAAATTTAGAGTAAGTCGATCTATATTTTAAGCACCACCACATATGCGAATATTCTCATGGAAAGCAAGGCCTTACCTGGCAAAAAATATTAATTTGTAATATTTTATGATGAGAATTCGTCCACAATGACACTTTGACGCCTATCAATCACATGGAGAACTTTATTTTAGACCCCCCCTAACTATAACATATACGCTCTCATAACCTAAGTAAGCCTTTGTAGCAAAATGCAATTTACTGCATTTTATAATCAAATTACTTGATGAATAATAAAATCGCCAAAAAGGAACTCAAATCAATCAGTTCACGTTTTGGGCATTCGGCATTACATTACGGCTTTCATGAGCGGTTTGCCTTTGCACAGGGTGCAACTCCATATTTATAAACCGCATCGCCGAGGCCATTTCGCTATTTCTGCTATGTGTGATGATGTTTTCTCCGTCTACTTACTTTTCTACATTATCCTTTTGAGTGCACACGCACAAACGTTCTGTCTCTTCTTTTGAATTTTTTTTGCTTTTTTTTTTGCAAATGTAACCACTCGGCAATCATCAGGAATTGTCCGCTATTTGAGTAGAAGGGGGACGAAGTGAGGAGAGAAAAGGAGGTAGGGAGGCGACCGTAGCCTGATCATATTGTTGGCCCCAAAACGGTCAGTGTTATACCTTTACGCCCACTTTAACTGCGATGAAAGTAAACGCTGACCCGCACTGACACTTAAACCCGTGAACACTAACTTGGTGGTCGCGATGCTTACATATTCGGCAATTCATAGGAAAATAATCTGGTGCAATATTGTCAATGTGTGCCCATCGATGCGTAACGTTTCTTTCTGAAAAGGCCTACCGCTAGTGATATCATTTTTTGCAAATAAGAAGCTTTCACAGATAAGAAATTTTATATGAAATGTGAGGATTTCCTTCTGCTCGTCGGACTGCTATCAAGTTGCCCAAGTCACCTCACCAACAATGACTTTTGCTGGCAAGCAATAATAGTATTAAGTTTTTTTTTTTTTCGAGGACAGTTTAATAGCGAAACTATTGTAGACGTCTTCTTGCTTTCTTAATGCAGTTTAACAACAATTTGTTTTTTTTTTTTTTTCAAGGGCGGAAGAATGTCTTCCTACCATATATAGCTTTCGACTATTTATTAATTTTTGATAAAAAATAATCTAAGAAGAAGAACAAATTTATTTTCACATTTATTTAAAAGTTACTTAAATTTTTTTTTGCGCCTTATTTGTTTATTCAATTCATAAAAACAAAACATAGCGGATTGGAGACCGTAAGTAGGGAGAGGTACACACCAGGTTAAGACATACGATACTACTACAAACCGAACGAGCCGAACGGAGATAGGATATGGCAGAAACTGACCTTGGGCATAACACCGCGGTTAGCCGGTTAGGTAGTTGAGCCTTATCAGTCCATCTTCTCTTTTTTAGGACATTGAGGACATGTGTATTTTTTTTGAATTAATTAATGCGTTGGTAGTCACCACATCATTATCGAACAAGCGAACTTTGGATGACATGTATCAAGCACAGTTCAAAGCGACCTCCGCTTTGGCAATGAATTCTCTGTTTCAATGATTCAATTTTTCAATTTAAGCTGATCTATCGGTTCACAGGGCTTGTACAATGTTGATGCGCTGCATATTATTGATTGAGTGAGCTGAAAACGTATAACCTTCACTCACAATATCTTAAACGTGCCCTTGAATTGCACGTCTAGCCAAAGTCGGCCGGTTATACCGTTATAAGTGACAATGTGTTTCTTGCATCAGTGCCTCGATCAACACTGTCAACAATACTACATCTTGTACTAAAATTGGAATTGGGCTTATCTAATACATATGAGATATAGAATTGCAAACAATTATGATAATATTCGATGCGTTTAACCGCAAAAGAATTGATAATCATCTACGATGGGGCCTCAATTCTTAACGTATTTCCCGGAAAGAAAAGATCATAATGTATCAAGAAACTAAATAAAATGCGCAACGTAATTTTTGAGGAATTGAAAATCAATTTGATATCATATCGATGATGATTTTCACCGCAGGATCGTTGCCCGGTACAAGCGTCTCTTTTTGCTCACCGGGATTTTTAATATGCAAAATTATTACTTTTGATCGGTAATTTTTCTTTCTTTTCTTTTTTTCTTTTCAATGAACAAAATCAGAACGTGAAGCAAGAAGGCAAGGTAAGAAGAAATAAAACTTCATGTCATTGCCGAAACAGTCGAAATATTGAACACTAACTTCACGGGTTCGCGGGTTCGAATCCTAGTGGGGTGCTGTTTGCTTTAGTCATATAGTCATATAGTCAATGATCAGTCGGTAAGGGCATACCACCAGACGATTCGGGTACACACAAACTTAACTGGGATCACCTGCCTATCTCTTTCTCTTTCTTCCTAATCCTTTCTAATCGTCATCGTATTACACGCATAGGCAGCAGCCTGTGAGTAATTGACTATATTTAAAAGTGAAAAAAGAGAAGTTAGCAAAAACGATTTCATCGTTTTGCTGCCTTATTTGTGTCATTTAAATTATGAGGATTTCTGATCCAATCTATGGTTTGCATATCTGGCTCTCTGACTTTTACGTCAAACATTTGATAGGCATAAATTCCGTAACTAATTAGTTTTCTCATTCTCATTCTGCCAGTAGCTTCCACTCTCTCTCTCTCTCTCTCTCTCTCTCTCTCTCTCTCTCTCTCTCCCGATGTCTCGATTATTTAATCAAAGTTATTAAATACTTTCTTACAAATTAAAACAAAAGAATTTTTGATTAATTATTTGAAATTCACAAACACATAAGCAATTTTCCCCCGCCCCCACAAAATATTTTCATGTGCGTGCATGGCTGTGTGCGTGTGCGCGCGCGTATATGTGTTTGCATAGGTATACTGTTAGTAAAATTTTCTGTCTTATAGCTGAGTGTAGGCGGAAATCTGCAAAAAGTCTACAGTAGTGTTTGCGCGCGCGCGTGTGTGTGTGTTTATTGCTCTGACTATTTTTTCTTTATTTTAATAATTATGAAACATTTAATTTTATGTCAATGTTGTTATTGTTGTTATTATTATTATTATTATTATTATTATTATTGTTGTTGTTGTCGTTGTCGTTGTTGCGGCTGCCTAAGCTATTTAAAACATCAATCTTTAGCTCTTTGAATGGTTTAATGATGAAAACTACCACGGCACACACAGGCATACAAACACATGTTGTTGCGCTTTAACTTTTAGTCATTAATTTAATGTAAAAAAAAAAAAAAAAAAAAATACGTGCACATAAACATAAACACAAAGCCAGGCATACGCACATACATTATAGTTTGCACACAAATATTTTCACTAATGAGAGTAAAAATCATTTTTATGCATTTTTTTTCTTAACATTTTTTTTTTTCATTTCTTTTTAAAGAAATCACAGCAAAACAATATATGTACATACGTACAATTTAATTAAATTAAAATAAAATAAATAAATGGTATTAAAAACAGCTTTCATTGATTGCAAAAGGATCAACTTGACTGACCAAAAAAAACCCATTAAATAAATAAAAAATGCAATTATTTAAGAAAAAGAGAAAAAGGTATGAATTTTTCAGAGAAACCTTAATTTGGTATTTGCTTAGATTTAATTATTTGATGGGAAAATAAGAAATGTTTCAAAAATCAAAATATCGCTATTAATAGCAAAACTCTTAAGCCTTACTAAGCATAACTTTGACGCCCACCAATTACTTATTGAGAATATATAGCACATAAGACACTTACCCTATACTTCAATTGCCTTTCGTCTCAAGCAAACCGAAGTAGGACTTAAGACGTAAAGAGGTGAAACTTTACCATTTATTTACCGTCGACGCAGGAGAATTCAGTAGATTCGTTTTGCCGTTTGTAGCATCCTGATATACGCATTGGGCACAACCCTTGGATAAATACACTAAAGCTCTTCTGTCTCTTTAACTTGTTCGCCTGTCCTTTTGCCCTCTATCATGGGAACCCAAAGTATTAAGTCTTAATGTCCTGAGCGTTAGATGGCGTTTCGAATTTCAAGTCCGCGGGTAGCATCACATTGGATCTGATAATGCGGCTTGTCGGAAATAAAGTGATAATATTGCGCACAGCCGACTTGTAAACGGAGTGCAAGAATGCATCTGTTTGCATTTCAAGGATTCGATTGAACTTACGATTTGTCCATAGAGCTGGGAGTGTAATGGCATTGTTGTGGTCTTACTACTAATCACACACATTGTGCTTACCAAATTTTTATCTGAATGCAACGCTGTGCAGGGAATCCAAATCACGTAATCCGTTCATTGGTAAGTACATCGACTATAACTTTTGCCTCTTAATTTGCTAAGAAGTAAGCATTTCAGCCATCAACTAACCACCAGCAGGTACTTATTCTCTGCACTAACAGCTAGGTACGGTCCGGCGATATTCATAGCACTCCTGCCAAAAATTTGCACAGACATTATACCGCTGCATGTACCCCTTGGATTTTACTTTGTAACCCTTTTGATTTCGTCCAGTGGTCAAAGCTGCGAATCCATTTTGCTACAAGCTTTGTGCGTTCACACAATTTTTTTGTAGAATTTTTTCATTTTTTGGGGCCAGAGCGTCCTCCACAGGTTCTTTTATGATTTTCTAGGTTCTGGCTTATGGAACCACTAATAACTTGCTGGTGTACGAAGCATATTTACTATGGCATACACGTTATAGGCGTTCATTTGCTACTGGGCGTAGTACGTTTTCGTTTTAGGATTTCTTTTGACAATTTCTTGTCTGGTGGAGCGTTGACCTTCTTCAACGACAACTAATTTGGCATTCCACCATAAGCGAGCAGGCCGTCTTTATGTTCATTGCTTCCAGAATAGAGAAATCAAGAAGTTTGTAAACTTTCCATCCAGTTTGCCAGTTGCTCTTCTAATTCGCTGAACTTGAATAGCCCGAGCAGCGTAGAGCAGCGTGATCTATCCTCACGTGAAATTTTTGTCTATGTAGATGGTGATGGAAATATTTAATGGATGACACGATTGCCAATAGTACTTACAAGTCACGCAAGTATATCTCTCATGTTTGATTACGCTTTTAGCTTTTGCTTACGATTACCTGTCTGAAAAAGGACGCTTGTTAATCCCATTGAAATTGCATCATTATTAAGGATACTTCCTTCAACGGCATGAACGCGCACTCTTGGATCCTCTTCAGGCTTGTGTTTATGCTTCTTTACATCAGTATTCTTTTCGTGTACAAAAATGAGAGAGTCATTCCCATCTTTACCCAGCTTTCGTTGTAATTTTACCATTTGCTCTTGCTTTAACTCCACATAACTTCATTTTTACCACTAGTGTGACATAAAATTCTCTTTCGCTTAATATGTCTTTCCTAATATATCTCGAATAACCATTGTGCCGTAAATTCACAACAGCTTAGAAAAAATCGGCCATGCCCACACAAAGTTGCAAGTGACTACATTTTTTTTTTCAACTTTTCGAGGTTTTATGCTTATTTATCATAACGCAAATAAGACACAATGTTTAAAACTATTTTGTAAATTGTTAAGATGAATGTATATCATCTGCCTGAAAATGGGTTAATTCTAAAAGGAATACGGTAGACATAGTGCATAGTGGTGGGTATGCGGGATTAGGCCCCCGCAAAATATAACTTTATTTACTTGTTCAAAGTTGACCCAATTAATTTTTAATTCATTTTTAATGGGTACAGACAAAGATTCACCTTAAAATATTAAAAATTTGACCTTTTTGGTGTGCAGGCTTTTAACATTCTATGACAATCCTTGTATGCAACCTACTTGATCCAAATTTGATGCAGTTGAGTACACAAATTACTCTGTCGAAAATTAGTCCCTTTTATTCACTTTTTATAGGAGGAATTATATGGCAGAGAGAGAGTTCAAAAATTTGCCACACCCGATCCAAACTTTATCACAATAATTTAGAATGACGAAATACTATTACGCAAAATTCTGGGAATTACAGTGCCGTTTCACATAATCAACTTTTCGGAATGTGGCGTTATATAGAAAGTAGTCAAAAAAGTCAGCTGATCAGTTCATTCTTGGGCCAAACCATATCGGTGCAACAAACTTCATCGATATATCTCGAAAATTGCAACCTGTTGGTTGAACACAAAAACACATTGGTAGAAATGAGACGGACAAATATGCTTAGATAGCTCCAGAAAAGTGATTCTGAATCAATCGATATGATAAACGGTGGGTCTATCTCAAGTCCCTTTGGATGTTGTATACATCCGCACAGACTTAATATGTCCTGTATCACAAATGTCGCCAAGTTATACATATATAAATAGAGTGTAAAGTATACAATATGCAATATGGTACGTATATCAAGTCAATGGAAATTTTCGCGATCTTTCAATCTAATGAACTAATGACAAGTAATAAAGTATATGACCCTAGCGAGATAGTGTTTCTTTCAAGTGTTTCTTTTTGTATTGAAACTGGTTTTACAGCAAATGTTCTTATTGATCTGATGACTGTTTATGTTGTTGCGTCCATGCAACATATATGTAATAAAAGATTTATCAACGTAAGCCATAATAAAACAATTCTGATTTGTGCCACTTTCTAAATACTGACAATAGATGGACAAACAGATATCATCTAATTGAATCAGTGTAAACACTTCATATTATGGTGCGAATAAGACGCGAAGATATAAGCAGACATCCGATAAGAAATTAAAAATATATTGGAAAAATTCGCTCTTTTCGACGTGTCTTAACATGACGTAGTAAACCACAAAATCGACGAAACCTTCAAGTCATTGAAAATTGCGTTGCCAATGAAATACATCCTTGACGGAAAGGTCTACAAAATACATTTCAAGTGTGTATAGCTAAAATGTCCGTAAAAGAAAATTCAATTTTTGCTTCAACAGAATAAAATATTTTTCTTTTTTTTTATTTTCTCATTAAATTTCTATATATATAATAATATCGCGATTTATATATATAATATACAATGGTACCCTAAACATATTATATAAAATAGTCAAATTAAAACTAATGCATGAAAGGAGAAAATACATATAAATTATGTGCATTGAAAGAAATTAATTAATAAAACACTAAATTGATAAAACAAACATCAAAACATATACATTTAATAAAGATGTATTTCAAAAAAAAAAAATTCACAAAAACAAAAAACTTGAACGTTTTTGGGTAACCTGGGTAAAAGAAAACTAAGAACAAATAAAACGAAACGGAAAAACTCGTAAGCATATTAGACAAAAAACAAAACAAAACAAAAAAAAAAAATTATAATAATAATAATAAAAACAATTGAGACCTAAATATATGTAAGCGTGCTGCGGGGAGTGCAATGGTGATAGTGAGGTAAATGAGTGATCCTCACGTACACCACTTGAAAAATTTGTTCCTTTTGTTCCTCTCTCTTATATGTCATCAAACAGTAAATATTAATATATTTTTAATTCATTTTTTTTTTTTTTGTTTTTTTAACTTTTTTTATAATTATGTGTACTTTTATCAAGTAACAACAATCAAGTTAATGTAGAAGAAAAAGATTTCTTTGATTTTGTTACTTAAACTAATGCTACCGTCAACCGTCCAAAGTGTTTGTCTAGGCAGTGAAACTGGCCTTTAACAAATACACTCAAATTCAATATAGAGAAAGATAGAGTTAAAGAGCGATATAACAATAACAAACAATTGGCTTTATAGGCCTTTAAAAACACCAACGTACTTGTTTAAACTTTTTTAAAACTCTCGCTTTCATTTCAAATCCGATAACGATTGTACCGTTTCTGTCTTTAGCAACTGGGCGCCTCCAGTTGTTCGGCGACCAATTCTTCCAGGGTCTTATCTCCAATTAAACGAAAGAAAAACAAATGATCTAAACATTTCAAGCTAATGGAACGCAAGGCCGGTAATCTTAAGAGCAATTGAGCAAAACGTCCATCATCACCGGGATGTTCATTTCGGCAGTGCTCGTCCAAACAAGCATAAATCTTCTCACGGCATACTTCTACATCAGCCCGACACTTAAGACCACGTATATCTGGGTTGAACAGTATGATAGCCTTTAGGCAGGCCAGCTCAGCGCGGTCTATATTCAAACGTTTCATTTTAATGCTTAATTCTGAAAGTATGCGATCGAATATAGAAACCACATTTGCCTTCAAAGCACTGTTGCGATGATAAGAGAAATTCTGGTTAAGGAAGAGCTGCTGAGGTTGACGTATAGGCGAACGCCTACCAAAAGAACCATCATGGCCTACGCCCGGCGTAGCGTAATCAACATCCAAGGAATCTATACTGCACCAAGCTACATTAGCAATAAGTAATTCATTCCATCCAGCCTTCAGCAACAGAACTTGATCCTCCCGTTGCAAATGTGTAAAATGTGGAGTTCGACGTGCATACTCCACCATTTCATATAATTGTTTGTTTACCATCTGACAAAGATGGGAAACAGCCCCTTTATAATCATGCTGCACCATTGAATTAGGACCAACACGCAGAAAAGGCATCACATTATCACCGCTCATAGCTTCAGCCTTTTGTTCGGCTTCTATTATTCGCTCGATGTTGAGGTCCCGCAATGAACTACTTGGTTTAAAATCCTCACTGGCTGTTCCACTGCTACCCCGGGCACTATTGGCACGTGTACCTCTTTGACGTTCTTCTTGCACCGCCTCGCGTTTCATTCCGCAAGCCAAACATTTTTGATAACGACAGTATTGACAACGGTTACGCTGACGTTTATCTATAATGCAATTACGGTCCTCTCGGCAAGCATATGTCAAGTCTTTGCGTACAGTACGCTTAAAAAACCCCTTACATCCTTCACAACTATAAACACCGTAATGTTTGCCACTAGCTCGGTCGCCACATATCGAACACAAGTGCTTAGAACCACTTAACGGATGATTGGGAGGATATTGCTGTTGCTGCTGCTGTTGTTGCTGCTGTGGATGCGGTGGTGAGGTTGCCTGTAGTATTTGATTTTGGCTGTTAGCTGCCACAGCAGCCACGGCATTCACCATATTCATAGCCTGAAGGCCTATGGCACCGAATGAGCCAGGACTGCCCGGCTTCGGTGAGAAACCACTTGTATTGCTTTCATTTAGTAACGATATATCTGGCTTCATTTCCTGCGGTGACATTGGGCCTAATCGGAAACCCGAATCTTGATCACCATTATCCATCTCCAACAGCTTATACCTTTTCCTGTTCTGGTATTTGTACTTAAGTATTTCTTAAAAAAAAAATAAAATCAACAAAAAACTGCACTTTTACTTTACACAAATTATCGAATTACTTCTATTTTGTTTTTTCTTTTTTCGCAACAAATTTCTAATCCGTTCAACTAACAAAAGAAAAGTTTTCGCGTCGACATTTTATTTTTTCCCAACAATAAAACGTTTCACCACCAATAAATTAATATAACGTCAACTATATAATCACCTCAAGCACATACGCAATCAACAGCAATACAAGTGTTTCTAGTGGTACGTTTTGTTGAATTCATTTGATCGCAAAGGTGAATAATGCAAACACAGTTGTATTTAGAAAAGTAATTTGACACCATTGTGAATGATGTCTCAACAAGTACGCAATTTACGTACTATGCTGCTCATAACATTTTGATCTTATAGGTTAAGAAATTTTTTTAAAGATTTTCAGTTTAAATGAGAAGCAAATTTACAAAAAATATAGAGGATTAATTAATCAAGAATAAATAGTTCAGGGATTCTGAAACGTACTTATTCTATATATTATATGATGCACACGACACTTTCGTAAAAAGACATAGCAAACACTAACGATAGTTTGGTGCAATTTAATATATTGATTATGGGGTGTGAATCAATAGCATTAAGCTTTATGACATTCATCCTTTATTTTGAATAAAAAATAAGTAACAGCTTAAAGAGATCATGTAAAGCAAATTGTTTCGGTTACCATGCTTTTATCATTCGGTAACCGAAATCGTACTTGAAAATTTTATTTTCAGAAATTGTGGCAATGACTTATCAATAAGTGTACAAAATCTATTATTTTATTTACAAGTTCATCAATAAATCATTAACCATATGAAAAACTTAGAAAAAATCTCCACCTTTTAAAAAAGATTTTAAAAAAAAAAATTTATGAAAAATAATTTTTTTACTTTCAAGTAGTTCGGACGTGCAAATCCATTCATGGTCGATTGATGAGCACTATGTGTGTTATTAAATTTAAAGTGTTTTAAACTACCTAATATTAGTAAAAACTAAAAGAGTGTTATCGGAAACTAGGGTTATAGCGCAAAAGAACAGCATCCAAATACAGTCTTTTTTTTTAGGAAAATGTGACACTTATCAAAAGACCTTTAATGGTTAGAAAATAACATTCCATTTTCACAACGAATTATTATTCAAATTAAACCTTAATACCAGTTAACCATTATTACCGGCATTGAAGCGTACGATTATAAAAATATGTTATTCTCTTCAAAACACGTCTCAAAACTACGCTCTAAAATTCGGGCCGAGGCTTTATTGGCTTCACCAAGCGACTAAGCACCAGTTTGCTAGTTAAACTCATAGGACGTGAACAGAAAGCAAATTTTAATGCTTTTTCAACAAAAAAAAAATAAATAAAATATTACAAGTTAGATGGACTAACTTCCGAAAACATATAAGAGTTTCAATAATTTTTTCTAGATGAAGGGCCATTTATAATAGGTGGACATATAAGCGACAAATCTATTGGCTTAGTCCATCCCCATTCAACATACCAAAAAAAAAAAAAAATTTACAATAGGCAGTCTATAGACAAATTATTTTTATATATGTAGTTTTTATTAGGTCCGAAATGTAAAATTAGAAGTTTATTTTCAATAATTGAAACTATAAGATATAGCATGTTTTATGCTTCACTCTCTATACATATTTATTAAGTTCACAACAATTGCGAATGATTTATTTACTATCATTAGGTTACACTAACGAGTTATTAGAGAAAACACACCACTATATTTGTTTATATCCAATATTTGTCAGTTTTACCAATTTCATCTTGTCTCTTTGTACAAACCCATTCCAAATGCCAACATCACTTCTAATAACAAAAACAATAACATACACAGCTATCACAAAAAAAAGAAACATTTTCATATTTAGATATAATTAAGATATTTTGCTTGTCGTTGATCGCTCGCGCACCACCCTTTGCACATAAGTTCTAATTACAAGAGATTGCAAAGTAAATCATGAAAATCTATACTTACGGAATTAATGTAATTTCTTATTTTAAAGTTGTGTGCTCTTAAACACCCGCAACACTGGTTGCTCCCAAACCACTATTTAAAATTTATGTAGTATTAATCCTGCTTTAAAATATATATAAAAAATGTATAAAATCTCTCTTTTCTTTACAATAATATAAATAATAATAATTTTGTACAACCTTAGACGCGGCTTAAAATACACAAAATTCACCACTGCATACTAAAGAACCACTACTTTACTATTAAAGTAAGCTGGGTTGCCACGTTTCAAGTAAATAAAATATTTGCATAATAATAAATAGGGTATAATGCAGTATAACTCTCTAAACTAATAAATTCAATTTAAACGTACAAGTGCGTATATTCAATAATAATTTAAATTGTCAATTAAAAATGTTTAAAGAAGAAAAAGAAGGATGATTTCATTGCTTTAATCTGGAAATGAAAAGGTATAAAAAATTAACAACCTTCACATATCGTAGATAGTTAATTGCATGATTAATTATGCTGGTTAATTGTTGCTTTTAGATACAACGACTCTTATCCAACTTTGATGAAGAATGCAAGTAGATTAGTTTGGTAAGAAGGTCACCTCAACAAGTTAAATATAAAATTTTAATGTAAAATATGTAAACCATTCTCTTGCAAATGTGTTAAGTTAAAATTACTGTTACTGCGGTTAGTTTTATTTGAGAAATTTATAATTGAACCAATTACATTAATTATTTAAATAACATAAAAGGGAAATTACACATTGCTTGAATCGAGGTCGTGTCTACTCTAAAAAAAACACAATGTATGATGACCATAAATCGAATGAAATCTTAAAAATGTCTTAGTTCCTTTTATATGAGCGTAAATATAGTTAAAATCTTTAAATACAACCATTACAAGTTAACCATTTGGTAAGTCATCATATAAGCCAAATGTGCTCTTAAGGCTATTTATAACATCGGCACAACCCGAACATATTTACGACTCTTGTAGCATACAAAATCCTTGTCAAAATATTTCAAATATTACGAACGCTTATTGAAAGGAAGGAGCATATATCAAATATTATTAACATAAACAGCAAAACAAAAAATCCAACTTATCCAAAAAACATGTGGCAATTCGTTGGTGTAAATTGAATATTGTAAAATCGTTTGAGGGTAGAGGTAGGAACCAAAATATCTGTAAATGAAAAAAATTAAATACTTAAACATAGTTCTGAATCGATTAGAAGCATAATTTTACAATATAAGAATGCCTGCAATTCTCTAATGCTGCCAGGTAATCCTCCTAATGTTTTGAAAAAGCTATCGATAACTAGAATATCTGTCAATGTTGTGATGTCGTTTGTCTATGATTACCAGTAATAATAAAGAAGAGAAAAGATTGTTTTTAAATGTTTATTTCTTTAAAATAATGTAATTTATATAATATAACAAATATCATGAGTAAAAAATGGTTATCTTCTATGCTAACGATTGGTTCGGTAGCTTTAAGTTCGTATTATTATGGTGCTTACCGTGAAAAGCAAAAATTGCTGGGAAATGGGCGCTTGGACAGCAAGCAACAATTGGAACTCTTGCATAAGCACATTTCAAAACCCGCTTTTCCTTTATTTGCTACGGTATCAGCTGCAGAACTTGCGGTAATGCCTGAAGTTAATTTAACGGCCACTCCATTGAGAATTTCACAAATTATGAAATACGGTTTCCCAAGCTTAGATAACGTTCGTTCTTATTCTGACTTTGTATTAAGTTACGATCGCCGGAATCGTGTACCTAATTGGGTATTTGAGCATCTAACACCGTTATCAGTAGCCAAAAATGAAGAAGTCGATCGAGCGAAGTGCGATTTTAAAGCAGATGAGAGTATACATCCCTATTTTCGTTCTCAAAATTCCGATTATTTTCGTTCCGGGTTTGATCGTGGCCACATGGCCGCAGCTGGGAATCATCGGCTTCATCAAAAACACTGTGAAGATACGTTTTTTCTTACCAATATGGCGCCGCAAGTCGGTCAAGGCTTTAATCGTGACGCTTGGAATCGTTTAGAAATGTACGTACGCAAGCTAACAAAGATCTATCCTAATATTTATGTATGCACCGGCCCTCTATATCTACCACATCGAGAAGACGATGGTAAAAACTATATCAAATATCAAGTGATAGGCACAAACAATGTGGCTGTGCCAACACATTTTTACAAAGTCGTAGTGGCTGAGTCTACGGACGGGCAACTGGATATGGAAGCTTACATAATGCCTAACCAAGTGATAAGTGATGACACGCCTTTGCAAATATTTCAGGTACCTCCTGAATCTATAGAGCGAGCAGCTGGTTTATTGTTCTTCGACAAAGTGAATAAAAAACAACTGGTGAAAATAAATGGTAAAAAAGTGTAGTTCTTCAAAATTGATTAAATGCTCTAAATCTTTAGTGCAATATTAAATCTTGTTAATTTGGGGATTGAGTTTTACGTTTTTATTATTTATAATTATTTCTTGTTTTATTTTTAAATAAAATTAACTGCAAACGTACCGTATTGCGATGCCCACCGCTTGATACGAACAAGTTAACAACATTTTTATCGGCTAAGGCCCACTACAATTCAGAAATAAGGAAAAACTGCTGGGAGAAGTATCGCTATTGTAGAAAGGCTTTCGATATTTAATGCAGAACATATAAAAAACGCCGGATTTTACAAAGCCAACTGAAAGTTTGGTGTTTATTGCAGTTCCGATCACCATGGCACCATTCAATTGCTTTCACAACAGAAATTTCAAGATAATGACTTACAATCAGGCAAAAATTATACAAGCGAAATGAACTGTTTTAATTGCTTTTGAATCGATCGTGACGGTGCTCCTGATAAATACCTGCACAGTAAGAGCACCTTCTCGGTATTGAAACTTATAGACGAAAATATTTATAAAGTTTTTTCTATGACCGGGCATGTCCCCTATAGATACGAGACAGTCAGGAAAGGTTATAAGAAGAGTCGGGTGAAGAAAGGGAGTAGTGTTTCTGTGATCGTTCGACTTGAAAATGGAAAAATCATTCATTTTTTTTTTTCTATTGTGGGTGAATATGTTTGCAGACCACATCCATTTTTGATCCTTCTATTCTTAATCGATCATGGAGGAATCTGAGTTTTTCTATCTTCATTTCTCCGACTGCCGTCTTGCATATAGAAAGCAGATCAAATTTATCCCCTGTAGTAGAAACGGGCACATGTCGAAATGTCGGTACCTCAACTTATAAATTCAAGCAAGGAAAGAAAAATTTAAAAACAATTTTTTTACTTGTGGCAAGACTGTTCAAAATTAATTCTGGGAATGCCACGTTCTTCGGAGTTCTTGCATTAAGAAGTTGAAGGCTCTTATTTTACTTTAGTAGTTATGGAATAGGCGCGCCCTCTTCAAAGTTGTGAAAAGCAAAGTGTTTTGTAATACTTTGTTGTAGAAATGAATTTTAAAGGCAAATCGCATATCTGGAGATGGAACTGCAAAACGAATTATGCATTATGAATAGAAGATAAATCTTATAGATAATAGGAGGAAAATTAAAAAAGAAAGGACACTCGCCACCAACATGACTTGACATACTAGATATGTATGTAACAGCTAGAGTACTGTAAGTAACATATCGACGTCCCATCATTTCCACTTTCCAAAGGTAGAAATTCTCTATTGAGCTATATTCTAATATCCTTATTTTTGCAGATGACATTAAGTTGCTGCTGTCTTCTTAACTGAACCTGTGCATTCGCTTCACTCCGATCTAAACAAAATTGTCTCTTAGTGCGATTTCAATGGGAAATTTCGGAAATGCGAATGGAATGTCAGAGTAGCAATTATGCACTATGCTTACGGTGATGTTAACAAGACTTAGTACCGCGACGTAACATTCACTGAATAGCGCCCACATCGTTCCTCCACCCCAATGGATTTAGCTGCATCGAACAAATGCATTTAAGAATTCTTGTGTCAGCCCGCTTAAGTCAGCAAAACTAAGCTGCAACTAGCACATTAGCATTTATTTTTTTTTACACGAAAATGAACGCAATAAAATATGTCTTAAAATAAGTACTATTTAATAAAACAAAAAAATATGAAAGTTTTTTAAATCAAAATCAAATTTAATAAACTTTTATGAGAAATACTCAGCGCCTCGACGTTGACCGACACACAGTTCTTGTACGTATATTGAGAGGAAAATTTTGCCGCATGCGACAAATCCGAATCTTAGAAATCCGAATAACTGAAATGTAACTTCAACATCAGGTAACAGATATCGGTACAGATTGAGTATTTTCCTTGAAGATGATTGCGGTTTGATTTTTCCCCTTCGCGGTTGTTAACCGCTATTATAATTAGTTTTCTTATTTTTCTTCTTTATTTTTTTTAGTCCGAATATATTTTTGGTAAAAAAATAAGATGGTTACCTCGTTCACGGTTGTAAAATTGTACTCCAAAAGAAGCCATTATTTTACAATGATTTAGCGCAGATTAATACGGAAAACATTAGCTTTTTAAGATTGCGATAAAACAAAGAAAATCAGATGGAGAACTTTAGTGCATCCACCTGGGAACGTGTATGAATCGGTATCTCTCTACAGTCCGTAGAATTAGTTTTCTTAGCATAAACGCAATTATTCCGCCAATAGACCGCAGCGTAACCATACGTTTTAAGAATTTTAGCATACTGACACAAATTGTACGTGTTCTCGCTAACATAATCTTCAACATTTACGCTGGCATAGGCCGGATGCTTTTTGCATTTCTCTTTATGTTTAAGAAAATCAACTTTCATATCAAGTTTATGAAATTGCACAATCAAGATCATCGTATCCGTTTCGAGATTATGACGCTCATAGAATTTACGCTTCATAATTGTAACGCGTTTCAAATCATCTTTCGTTAATTTTAATTTCATTACACGTCCCATATCCGCAATGATTCCGGGCAACGAGCTGGCTAAAGCATTTTTATGCAGACCTTTTACTATAATGCAATTACTATCGTCATCATCCCCATTATTACAACTACCAGTGTTGTTATCAGTCGCAGGTTCATCGCTTACAGTATTTGATCCGTTCGAAATGGCTTGAGTATTTATATTAAGAGCATTACTTTTTTGACTGATTTGTATTAGCGTCATATCACGTTGCAGTTTATCGCTGAGTTCCTCTAATCTCTCCTTTTTCATTTTCAAAGTTTTAATTTCATTTTCCAGTTTATTGACCTTATCATTTAACTGCCTATTCTTAGCTAAAAGATTTTCCGATCGTGTTTTCTCAAACTGCAAGTTATCTATAAGTTTCTGAATATAATCTTTGAGCAAAGGGTCATTTTTCGTGTACTTTTAGGTAGGAATTTCTAAAGGAAAAAACATTTTAAAGGAAAAAATATACGTTAATGCTTATGCATCTACAATATCACGTTTAAACCAAATTGAAATTGTCATTACGCAATAACAAATCGGACTATTTCTTTAATGAGTATATATTGCTATGTTAACTTCCTTTTTCCGATTTTACCGCCGAATATTTAGGCAATCAAGTAGGTAGGTCCTTAGGTAGAACTTTTTACTACAGTATAACACGATTGTATTATATGTCTCTGTTGCGTTTTTTTTTTTTTTTTTTTTTTTTGAGTTTTTCTTTACTTAGCATGGACTAACTGCTGGATGCGTTAGTAAGTAAGCAAGCAGATCCGTCGTAGTAATTATAATCTCTCCATCTATATGCGTTGCTCAACTATTATATCAAGACCTCGATAAAAAAGGACGTAAACACTATAAAGTCTTAGAAGCTCCACTTTTTATCAATTCAAGTTTCGCTTTAAAGTAACGATTTTGATTTTAAGAAGGGCAATGATCTTTTTACATTAGCTACGTCTATCCGGTAATGTCGTTTAACGAGGCATTTATATGATAATTGCATGATAATTTACATGAGGTCACCTCGGAAACAGACTGTGCTGTTACCTGACTTTATGGGAAAGCAAAAGCGTGAAAAAAATTAAATGACAGAGTGAGATGTAAATGAAATATACCATATATGAATTGAAGGTGTTTAGCTAAAAGTGCTCCTGAAACCGCTCTCAGCTACGCTCAATTGCGTGCAAAGGTTTTTACAGACCGTGCAACATACAAAGCCAAATTATTGGTGATATCCGAATCCTATCAATTCGTCACAAACTTATCACAAATTCGTCGAGTTTCTAAGAACGATACAATTGATAAATGCGGGACATCACCAACATGCCCGTCTATCTTCTTAACATTCTTTTCATTCGTCACACTTAATGCTGAAACATGAGCACAATAATGTTGAAAATCTACAAGCGAGGTAAATATCAAAGAATGTTGTAATTGGGACAACAAAAAAGGCACAAACTGATCGTCGCGTACGTAAATTTATAAACGGGCGTTAATTTTTTATCATAATCCATGATTAAGTCTAAGAACTTATATGGCAACCTTCAACTTCTTATCTTAAGTTTTGTTACTATTCAAGAAATGGGGTAAAGCATGAATGTTTCGTTATATGTTTCGAAAATACACCTACAGTGATTTTTTTTGCGGTATAAACCTGTGTGTAAATCTCTTCTTCAATATTAAATAAAAAGAAAATTATAATAATGGACACGGGAAGCTTCCTTTGCGCTCGGAAAATTTATTCGAAGTGTACTTTTTGACGTCGAAAAAATTGTCTACGGAGAAAGAAACCACTTTAGCATCTTAACTATTTCAAAAGCGTTCCATACTGGGCCGAAAGATATCGGCGTACTAAACTTCATTAAAATTCGGAACCTCTCAAAAATCGTTGCCTGCAAGTTGAACACGAAAATACACGACGGAGCGACAAACTTAAATAGATTCAGGAAGTGATTGTGAATCGATCCACATAATAAAGGGTGGGTTTATATCAGGTCTTTCTGGTTGTTGTACACGTCCGCAAAAACTTAATACACTCGAGCGTCGCAAGTGGCGTACGGTATAAAAATATTAAAAAAATGACAAACTGGAACCATTCTCGAGAGACATTGAATTCGAATTGTTTTGCGGTAACGTAGCGGATAAAAGCTTGAATGAAAAAAAAATCACTCAATCTATCTGCCCACAGCTGGAGAAACTGAGCTGAGTTGGACGAGTGCTGGACGAGTGTTTAAATGAAACGCTGAATTTTCGTCAGCTTTTGACCAAAATAGCCAATAATGTTTAAATGAATTTTCGAATTTCTAAAAATTCGAATGCAAATTTTGAAAGCTATATTTCATGTCGTATTGATAAATGATATTTTTTTGTTATTAATTTTTACCATTAGTCGGCTATAATCTAGGGCAATAAAAGTGATCTGCAATGCCGTAACGAAGCGGGAGCTGCTTTACAATTTCTATCCCGCACCAATAAATTCTGTCGAAACATTTTTTTAATATGACTTTTGGTGTGGCATTTCGATGCAAGTTATATGTTCAACTGCATGCAAACGCATGCAAATCAAACCATGTTTTAAGTGCATAATGAACGGCGCAAATGCATTAATTGTGATCAACACTTCAATTAACACTGCTCTTTTATGCACTCAATATTTCTTTTTGTTGGCGCTCAAATTTTTGCCTTCTGCATACGATCGAGTTACTGTAACGCGAGATACTAAATGTGTGGAGACACAATACGAACTAGTAGAATCAAACGAGAGTTTTTGTGTTTCTCTTATTAATAAAAGTAGCAGGGCTGTTAACTAGCAATCATTTTACTACTAGCGCCGCTTTCATTCTAATTCTGTTAAATTATGACATTGTTTGAAACATTCGCAAAGCAGGCGGACTAAACGATGAAACGGAATTTCATATTGAAGAATCCCAAGTTTTACCTTTGCTAACAAATTCAATGAAAAATTTCGCATCACATGTGAAAATAGTTTTTTATTATTAAAAGGTTAGATTGTAGGTATAATTTATTTTTATTTAATTTACTTATTATTTATATATTCACTAATTCTATTCGGATACAATATTATCCAATTTTCCATATCACACATGAGTAAATGTACACGACCTGTTGCCTACTTATTTCACAATATTATTTCGCTAAGATACAATCGAGAAAATTCCATAATATATTTAAATATGCCAAATATATGTGTATATAAAATTAGTAAATATACAAATAATAATTAAATTAAATTATTCGCATAATAGATCCATTTTTATTTAAAAAAATTTCTTCATAGAATATTTTAATTTGCGAAAAATTAAACTTAGATTTCTTCAATATGAAATAAATCAAATTAAACGAAAAGAAATTATGTTACATAGGTATATACGTAGACTTCGGTTTTTTACGACATGTACACTTGTATACATACTATTACGCAGCATTCTATTTATTATTTTTGCTTTGTAAATGACAGACTTTTAGCCCTTACAAATAATGAGAATGAAAGTGCGAGCAGTCAAATGGCTGTTAGTTAAAAGCGTTGTTACCATTATCGATAATAGAAACATAAAGAGTCTGTGAGATTTTATTAGTTTAAATTTTCAACTAAAATGATGGGATATCTTGTCATTTAGTTCTGAAATCGTCTCCGTGTATTTAGTTGCCGATCATATAAAACATTGAGTTTACTCTTTTTCTTACACTTATCTTTGCTCGATTCCAAACAGTACTCTTTTCACGTATATGCATATAGCTTCTGACTCGAAATTATATATTCTCTCGCTACTATATATAGACGTTTACTGCTTTACTCTCTCATAGATTGCATATCGTAATAATATTCTTTTTCTACTCTACTGGTAGAGATAACAATTTCTCATTGTTATATATTCACGTTGTTATATATGTACACGTAATGGAGAAATATTAAATATCGCGTTTTCTTTTATATAAAAAAGCTATTTTGTATTGTGGTATTTGTTATAAAAAAAGCTCCCAGCCCAATTCATTTTCAACAATGTTCGCTTTTGGGCTAAAGGAGCTTCATCAAAATATCTCGAATTGCAATTTGAACATGAGAACGCTTTCATGGACAGACATCAGACATGCAGATATGTCGTAATCGATTCAGCAAATAATTCTGTGCTAAATGATTCTGGAAATGAATGGTGTAACAAAAAGGTTAGATTTCAAAGCCTTATGGGTATTACACAGATCCGCGAAAACTTACGTTTATTAAGTTTATGGTTTTAGTACTCATGGTGTAAAGTGTAATTACAGCATGAAGAAGTAAATGAAGTAAGAACGGAAATAAATGTAAAACTTAAATCAAATTTCCGCATTCGTTTTTATTTTTCAAGCAGCGAAGGCTTTTAATGGCATTAGAATTTGTTGAATTAGTTTTCTCTGCTTATCATTTACGGCAGACATTTTGAATTCTGACACCAATATCTATTATAATCGCTTGAATGCCTTATGTAAAAGGGGTTGAGAAAGTAAATGATTTTCATATGCTCGCCGTGAGTGATAAATATTCAAAATTTCTTTCAAGTGGATATATCCCTAGTATTTTTATGCTTTGTATTTAGTTAACCAGTAAAACGTAATAATCATAACTTACTGAAAGCTGTTCTCACTCCAATGCACTCTATTGATAATTATACAATACGTAGTTCAAACCGTTTGTAACTTCTATCTATTACTTTATTTTCTTGGTAGATGGACTGTGAAAGTTCGCGAAGGCGTGTAGTAGCATTCAGTGCTTTATCGTAAAAAGGTAAATTTAAATTTGATCAAAGGTTTGTGTTCATCATGGGCTTATTGATTATACACTTTTGCGGTTACAAAAAGTACCAAATGTTGATGATATTTTCTTTGTGTTTAAATCGTAAATAACTGCGCAAAAAACTAGATTTGAATAAATCTTACATAGCGGTAAACGGAGATGTTTTTTTTCCTTTACATATATTCGGTCATCATACATTTATGGTATAGTTACGCTCAACAATGTGTATGTATGAGTCGGCAAATTATTAAATGAAGCTTGAAAGGTATTAGATAGACGTCGGGTCTATGTTTGCTATAAAAATGTATACATATATATTTTAAGTAAATAACAATTTATGTGCTAATCGCTTCCCTAATTATATATCGAGTTAATTGTGTTGTTACTTCTTATTATCATAATCAAATTGTTTTTATTTTTTTACAATTTTATATTCAAGACAGAAATTTTCAATAATTGTTTTACTTTTTTAATTGCATTTTTTTTTATTTCTTGTGAAGTTTTATTGCACATTTTAAAATTTGTTAATAAATTTTATTTTCTTCACTGAAGAATTATTATCGAAACGAAACCACTAAACTGGCTATCGACAATCTATCATCCGAGAAGTGTTTCTTATTGCAAACAAAAGTTAACTGATATCAAAATGTATGAAACGAAAGAGACGCTTGCTCTCTTCGCTCTCTTATTTTCTTTCTCAGTCTCACTCTCTTTGAGTTTCACTTTCAATTGTTACATCTCAATTGGTGTAGGGCTTAGAGCATGCACTTGTGAATACGTTTGTTTTGAATAATTAAAGCAAAGATCATTGATATATATCGAGCGAATTTGCATCGGTCTGACCTCCGCGACACTCCCATCATAAAACATAAACAAGAATTGAAAAAGGAATGTACCCTCCGGGCCAAGCCTTTAATATTCACATCGTATCAAGGAATGGAAGACATTGCAATACAATCAACAGCATCTCGAATCACTCAACGCAATTGAATTATTTTACATCACAATGTTGCAATAGTCGTTTAGGCTTGGACTGATTGTTAAAGTCCTGAAAACATTAACCTGGAGGTGATCATTTAATCTACCATCGAGTCTTTGAAATTCGGTTCAAACTAAATATTACTCTTAACTCTTTATTACGTTTATTTATTTATTTACGTTTTTTTTTTTTTTTTATCAAATTTGGTATAAACAAACGAAACGCTTTGTTTAGCATAAATAAAGAAAAGTACAGTTTTTAATGTTTTAAATTCAATTTCGACGCATTTCAGTTATCCTTCCATATGTACGTTTGAGAAATGAGATATAGAAAAAGCGAATTATTGTTAATACGATAACCGGCACTGTCGGTTTTCTTTTCTTCTCTTTCGACATTTATTTGTTTTGACCTTCTATCTTGAATATAGGGAATCGTTTATGGAGTAATTCATAAATTCATAAAAATCTATTTATTTAAAATGCGGAGCGTTAAACGTACTGGGTAACCTGTGAGCCTATACATCGTTTTATAAACTGTGGAAATAGATGGGAATTTTTTAAAATCACTTAGGCTGCTTTTTAATTTTTCTCGTCTACATTATCTGCCTTTTATTTAACAAAGGAAAACAATAAGGAGAACTATGCGCAAACCAAAGAAAAATTTATATATTCGCTTACCTCTCTCTCTCTCTCTGTCTCTCTCGCTCTCTGTTTCTTTCTGCCCCTCCTTTTCTGTTTTTCATCAATTATTATACCAATTTGCGAATTTTCCATTTTTATACTCTAAAACACTTATGATACATACTTACATGATACATTATTTACTTTTGTGCCGATGCGTGGAACATTTAAAAAGACTTGAGATAAAACATTTTGATCAGTTCGGAATCATTTTCCAAATTGATCTATTCGTCTGACGTCTGTACACACAGGTGGTCATTTTTTAAATATTTTGGCCGCATTTCATGCACTGATTTGTTTTCGCCCAGAAACAAAATCTCGGGCAGTTTTTACAACCATTCCTACATAATGCCTTGCCATATAAACAAAAATTACAACATCCAAAATTTATCGGGTAATACTTAATTGATGCGGAAAATTTGAATCGGATAGGTTTATAAGCACCCTCCCGTGTAACTGTTCCACCGAAAGCTAAGTCTAAGATGTTGGTGAAAATTTGAAAAATTGGTTAATATAAAAGTCGATTGTTACAAATTTGAATCACATATGTCTATTTGAAAAACCACAACCGGTATAAGGATTATCATGAAAAGTAAGCTTTTATAGGGCAAAAAAGATTTTATTCCTTCATATTTAATGGGGATTAAAGTAACCCTTATAATAACTTAGTGCAGAGATTAACTGCGCTAAGTTTGGACCAAGTTGGTCTCTTTTTTGAACCTTACCCTTTATAAGCCTACTCATGAGAAGTAAGCCTTGGAATGGCATCAAATTAAAATTTTTAATAATAGTAAGACCTTTGGCAAAAAGGTTAATTTTGCTAAATTTGGTCCCTCTTCCATATAAGGGCCTCCATGGGCTACCGCGTAGTCAAATGAATGGACTCGTGACTGCCAAGTCGATAATTGTGAATTCGAATCTCAGTGCAGTAGGCTATACATTATAAGTAACTGTATAACATAGTTACATGAACTTATGTTCGCCTTTAATGCTTTAATGCCTATAGTATTGTATACAGTCTACTTACTGTTTTGATTGATATTCTTTGTTATATAATGCCATAGTTTTAATTATTAGGCTTAAGTTCACTTTGCTAATGCTTTCAGCTTAAAAATATTCAAAGCAAAAAATTGAGTAAATTTGGTTACAATAACTACAGATTTACTACATCCAGGGCAATCTTGTCTTGGCTGAGTACAGGAATACCCTTGATTAAAATTTCTTCTTGAAAACCATGAGGATAGCTTGTACTTTTAGCAAAATAGATAACTTCGGACATCGCATTTTGTTCTAAGGTTTTTGCTAATCCTCCTGCACGTGACATTTTCACTCTTATTTGTATTATACTAAATGATGTTTCCCTTAAATTTTTCGTTTACCGCCCTTAATTTTATCGTAAAACTTTATTTTCTTTCATTGGCTTCTCAATATTTTGGGAAATTTCGTATTTCAAATCACTTAAGCAATTTGTTTGTAAATTCATTTTATCGCATATATGTGATATGTGTATCGATATATTTACCTAAGTTGGTTACGTTATCTACAAGTCGCATATAACTTGCTTCCCTATGTTAGTTGTATGTGAAAAGCGTCAGTATGCTAAGTTTAAGATTTTATCGGTAACATTACTATAAAATAAGCATAACTGTAATAAAAACTATAATATCGTCTTTAATATACCCAAGGTAGAATATGCGTGTGCGTGTGTGTACTACCGTAATTTCCTATTTCCAAGCGATTTTGCTTGTCAGGTGACGATAAGAAAGTGGAAAGCGGCATGTGTGGCCGTATCGCTAGTCGCATTTCTCGTTCGCTATTACCATCGTGGTCCTTCATCTTGTTACTTAGCGAAGTGCAGAATGAATAAAGTGCAGTAGATAAAGTATATTTAAGACAATACATTTGGTACGAGTTCCAAAAAGGAAGCAACGCATTGGTTATTTGCAAAAACTTAGGTGATACCTTAGGAAGTAAGGTTTTTAAATTTCCGAACCTTCCAAAGATAATCTAACAAATTTCGTTTCGCAGATTTCAGTCTTAAATAAGATCGGCGTGATACATTCAATCACTGGAGCAGTTGCAAAGGCAAAGATGAAACATTTAAAAATGCAAATGTTTTATTTAGAATACGACAGCATTTTTTCGCCAGCGTAATATAATGGTCGACATTGCATTGCACAAAATGAATACAAAATCAATGAAAGAAAACGATAAAAAGAAGAGCGTTAAACAAAAATGTGAGTAATTTATATTAGTACCGTTTTTGCCGCACCCTCTCTTTATAGGATCGCCAGTACAAATTTTCAATTTCCGAGTCAAATCAGTTAGTTCTATATCATTTAATGCAGAATTCGTAAGTGATGCGGAATTCATGCTTTGTGATTAAAAACAATTATGCCAGTAATACGAAGAAAGAGATGTATTTTGTCGTTATGTGTTATGAATTTGTAAAAGGTGGCAGGGGGGGGTGTATAAATGAGCCGTTTATTTTGAAAGTGGGATAAGTTTGTTTTTTAATATGTTATGTGGAAAAGTTTCGAAAAAGTGGCCTAATCTGAACCATTTTCTATAGCGCTCGTCCTTACCCCAACAAATATCGGTATATCAAATTTCATCAAAATCTCTTACAAATTGCGATCAAGGAGCGGAAAGACGGACAGATGAGAATCACTTTCTGAATTGGGTATAACAAAAAGTTGGATCCATGTCAGGTCTTTCTAGTTGTTACACACATCTACACAATCTCAATACACGAGTGTTGTAACACCAGTCGTGTAGAGTATAAAATAATGTTAAGCATTAATAACAATTTTTTTTGCATTTTGTAGTATTAGATAATAAAGTTTATTACCTAATAGTGTTTATAGTGCTGGTTAAAAATAAAATTACGTTTTTTTTTATACGTAAATGAATCTGCTTCACGTTCAAAATTAGTCAATTATTGCAAGTGTTAATTGATGGGATAATATTTCAAATGTGTCAGCCTTTTTTATACCCATCACCGAAGAATGAGGAGTATATTCAATTTATCAAAACGACTGCAACGCTCACAAGGAAGCTTCAGAGACCCCACTTGATCAGTAACAACTCCCGATTCAATTTAAGCACGTCTGTCGCACAACTGAAGCTATCGACTTCAAACTTCTCAGAAACATTGATAGTTCTTGCACGCAAGCTGGTGCTGAAAATGGACCAAAACGGGTCAAGGACACGCCCAAAGTATTGTATAAAGTGAGAACACCCCTGTCTTTTAAAAGGCATAAAAAATTGTTTTTTTGCTAATTACCTCATAAATTACAAAAGGTGAATCTACAAAAAATTGAACGTATATACGCGATGCTGTAGTACCTGGACAGAAAGGTTAAATATGGATCACCCGTACCCAATATCATTGTTTATCGAAATTTAATTTTTTTTTTCAATACCTTTATAACGCCAGTATGGGCCAGTTTCAAATTCGGAGTGCACTGAAGCATGTCCCATTGTTCATCCGCCCATCTTCATAGTAGCTGTAGTAAACATTCTCCCGTTCGTCTAAAAAGTTGTAAAAGAAATTGAAAATTACTCAAAGAATACGCCCACAACGTCCACACGCCTATGTGACAAAAACTGTGAACGCATTTGCTCTCCGTTTTTTTTTTTTTTTTTTTTACTTTTAACTCATAAAGTACAACACACATACACAATGTAAATATTGACCTTTATTCTGAAACTAGAAAAAAATCAGCCGCACCCACCCATTAAATAAAATACAAAAATTTATTTATTCTTTCGTCTTTTTCAATCTTTCATTGAATAGCGATGAAGGGTACAAAAAAAATCTGCTCGCAATCGAATATAATTTTCTTACTTGTTTATCTTCAATTAATTTCCAAGTTTCACATATAATGTGACAATAAATTCAACACAAGTGGTGTATATAAAAATGTTAATTTTTTGTTTTAAAATTTAATTAAAGAAAACGTCGTTTAACTCTTGAAATATTTGAAATATTTCTTATAAATGAAAAATTTTCAAATTTCTTAAGTTTGAAGAATTTGTTTAATCTTCTTTAAATTTTTCGTTCCTTATTGAAATAAAAAAAAAAAAAAACCAAAAATTTTAGTAAAAGTTCAACTTTTTAAAATTATAAGTTAACCATGGATATAGTTATAACTCCCGAGCCGCATTTCATACCGGGGTTTGTAACGAAAGGCTTTTCGAGTTCTTTAAAATTTTTGCTCACAGTTGCTTAAATTCTTAACTCGCTATAGGTATACCGGACATTGTCCGCAATTCCGTTTCCGCGAAGGCAAGACTTATGGCAAGTTAACGCACAAGCTGCTTATAGATCCCTGTGCAAAGCATGCGCCCGAATTGATAGTAACGACTCCTACGCAACCATTGCTGGTCGACTATCCTACGCAAAAGGAAATAAAAACTTTAGAAGATCATGAAAAATTTGTTGATGCCGTCTATAAGCATCCTTTGATTCCTGGTTATGATGGGTACGTACCAAAAATGAATAGTAAACTTGGTAAGAGGTACATGGCGGCGGCGACAGCCGGTGTAGCGGAGCACGAAGCCTTACTTGAATTATTACGCTGCCAACAAAGGCACTTAAGACACAGAAGTCTGTTAGAAGGTGGTGAAGGTATATTTGATCCGAAACTGAATGAAAGAATGGTAAATATGACAAGCAATTTTAACCCTTTAGACCTAAAATCTCTTAATTTTTTTTTTTTTTTTTTTTTTTTTTAGATGCCGATGACTGCCTATCGTGGCCCATTGATACCTGTAAGACCTCGGGCACAAGGCGTTAAAGCTGAAACTTGTTTTATTAAAAAGGAGAAAATTCCTTATTCTAAATTTACAGTTCCTCACTTCATGGAAGTGGATGACGAAGAGAAATTTATAGTTAATGGTAAGAGCGATGTAGATAGATATCGATCTTAATTGAAGCATTAAAAGTTTCTGGCAAATTTTTTTTAAAAGATTTTGTTTGAAAAATCGATTTCACAATAGATTAGCGAAGAAAGCCATAAGCCAAAGTTCTCTACAATCTAACTCTTAAAAAATTACTTAAAACGCTTTTCAATTTCGAAGTGAAAATGATTTTCCACGAGAGATACTATCCAGTAGATTACATTTAGTTCGTTTTAACAAGACAGAAACACTCAGAAGTAAGGTTAAAATCAATTCCGATTGAATTTGTGTTAGTTTAAGAGTTGAAACTAAAGTATGAAATTTTTAAAAATTTAAAAAAATATCTGAAAGCTTTCTAAGTGTGCAAAGGTAAACCACTTCCAGTGCAAAAAATTCAATTTAAAACATCAGAAGTAACGTTTGGCAATATTTAATGTTGAGCCGACGTAAATACATCGACTTTTTAAAAGTAAAGTTAAAATTGTTATCCCAACGACACATACATAAGGGACGAATTGGAAATTATATGCCTTGTTAGAAAAATTTGCCCAATAGACGGCTAAAGTACGAAAAATTAGAATTCAATCTAAATACGCCTTAGATTAACTGTTAAATCTTAACTTAAACGGTATGTTTTATATCATATATCATCATTCCGTAGGAGGAGGGGTTACGTTCCCTTTATCAAAACGTTTGCAACACTCACAAGAAGGCCCCCAAAAGTATATGTGTTTGCTTGATTAGTTTCAAATTCTCAATCGATTTATGCATGTCCGTCTCTCTGATCACTGAAAAACAAGATATCGGCTTAAAATTGATCAACAACATGGGAAGTGGAAGGCATTGAAAATTTGACGAAAGCGAAAAAAAAAATCAACCACGCCCACCCTACGTTGTGTTGTAAAATTTTTTTACTATGTCCAAATTTTTTTCCTCTGTCTTTTTTTTTTTTTTAATTTTAACATGAAAGAGAGGGCTTTTAAAGATTCGGTACATATTCTTAACGGTGAGCTGATTTTCGGATTTTGAAATTGAGAATTTAAGAACAAAATTTTTTTTGATAGGGAAATTTAAGCAAAGAGTTTGCTGGGATTTTTGAAAGCGGTATATGAAGGCGGCGAAATCTGCTCGACTATTCTTGCTGAGCAGAGATATGCGTGTATATCGTAATATCATCTTAATTAAATGCTAATAATTCATACAACTATAGATATAAACCGATTTTTTTTTAAGTTTTATGATTGAAAGGTTCCATGTAATGCATTAGCTGTTTTTATAATTTAACACTTGAGGGCTAAGATTGTACGCAACAAGGTGGATTTTGCAAGTTTTCCTTCCTTGCTCATTTCTCGAAACACTGTCAACTTAAAACTACTTTGTGACTGTCATATTGACTTGAGTAGTAACAAAGTTGGCCGAAATTTATTTTCTATTTTCATAATTTTTCTTTTTTTTTTGTATTGTGTTTGTTTGTTTTTTTTTTTCTTATTAATTTTCGTTTGCAGTGAATTGTTTGTATTTAAAAGTAAATCGCGTATATATCTATTTTAGTTTGGTTTTTATGCATTTGATTTACTATGCTCCCCTTTTATTTCTGCAGGTTACAGTGGACATATTCCTATGGCAATGACACGATTCGGTCAGAGTAGTAAACAACTGAGCCATGGGGCTTTATCAGAATTTATCAATAATTATCGTCATCGCAGGAGTGATGAATGGTGCCCGTTACAGTCGGCTGGTGTGGCTTCTTCATGTCCCAATACCAGTCAATTCGTTATCTATCATCCAACCGTTGGCATGATACCAAACTATGCAGGTCATGTGCCAGGTGAGGCATTCACCTTTGGCCGCACGTACGGTAATGCTACAATAGATGCCAAACGTTGGATTGCTTTGCATAAAGATTAATTCTGTGATATGTGGGAGTGGAGTGCGGAAATATTTACTCTTGACATTTTATATGTTGTAATCGGTGTCTAAATTTTGTGCTTGTAATTGCGCTTTTAGATCTATTTTGTCTTAATAAAAATTCCGTAATAGTGTTATAATAGTAATCGCTGGGTGGTGGTTATGGATTCAATTTTTTTAGTTATTTGCCGAATAATTCGGATTTTTAGGATTTGGACAGTTGCAATCATTAAGAGATAGAAGTGGGATTTTACAAATTAATGAATATAGTTGTGTTAACTTGCAAGACCGAAAAGTATTATAGTGGACTTCTCCGAAGGCAGTTTTGTGCAATAAGAACTACGCTCAGGTCTAATAAATGGATGCATTTTTTTTCAAGAGATGTTTACGAGAAGATGAAACTCAAGTTTGAATACAAACAAATGCGGAAAGTATTCGCTACGTATAGCTCGTTAACGACACAAACGTTTTTGATGACACTCTTCATAATTGCCCCACAAGTTCATTTGTCGCATTGTCATTATTCTAATAAAGTCGCTGTAACATAGCAGACTTTTACAAAAGGAAAAATATAACTGAAAGTGATATTGTCTTCTCTTCATTATTATTATTAAAAAGTTTTCATTATTAGAAAGTTATTTTTCTTATTCTAAATCATCATAAAATCCATCTAATAAAGTTTCATTGGCCGCCCCAAAAATCCATTTCAAGTTGGGATTAGAGTTATCACAAGCATTAACCACAACTGTGAAATTTCCATTTTGATTCACAATCTCTAGACAATTGATGCCACTGCGACCATGTATTAGCCACTTATATTTGTGGTCGTAAAACCAAAATTGGTTGCCACCTTGTTGGTGGCAATTCCATAGCCAAACTTTTGAATTCGGTTTTGTGTCCTGAACATCGAGACAGAGATCGCCATTAAGTAAGCGAACATCACGATGCGAGCTTAAGACCCAATATTGATTGCGTTGTGGATGAGTTTTATTTTCGGCGCATGGATAAACCCCTACAAGCGAATTACTTTTACCGTTCAAATTATCTAAACAGTATTGCGGATACGCTAAGCTCTGTAAGGTACCAGACGCATAAGGTTCTGGTTCCTGCGTAGGATACGTTCTTAATAAATCTGGAATTATTTTATCTAAATACCATTGAAATGATTTGCACTGCAGTCGTTCGCGTAAAGCTTTCTGTTTTGATAAATCGCCTGGATCTAAATTGTTATAAACATTGGGATTTCGTTGATAAAAGAAATGTTTAAAATCGTCCATCCATATTTCTGCGACACGTTTGTGATTCTTTAAGCACGATGAAAATAAATATTGAATATTATTAATAAGTAAAAGTTAATATATTTGACGTACTCTGGCCACAAAATTGTAGTCTCTTGGGCTTTTTCTTTCTGTCATAGGGCCGCGGAATATGTGTGCTACCTTTGAACAGGGTACATCATATAATTTGCCTCCGCACATCCAGATTTTAAAGCTAAGTTCGTATTGCTCAGCTCCCCAGATATCGAGCTCTTCATCATAACCTCCTAATTCCCAGAAAAACTCACGATTAATAGCAAACAGTCCTCCCATCATAACGGGATTAGGATAAGGTCTACTAGAATCTTCTTTAAACTCAGGCAGTTGAGGTAAAGCTTTATATGCCATTGTCCAATCAAATACACCTCTAGCACCCGCGTTATAAGATGATCTATATCGAAATGTTTCATGTTCTATTACGTCAATAATGGGACAAGTGACTATCTTATGATCTAAAGCGATTGGCTCTAATAACGGAGCCAACCAATTGTTGGTGCATTCTATGTGAGAATCGAAAAAAACTATAACATCTCCCATGGCTTGTTTAGCTCCGGCTAAGCGAGCTCCAATTAATCCCGTTCTACGCTTTAATCTGATAAGATGAACTACATCTTTGAAATGACGCAATAAATACTGTTCCAAGTCATGCTGAAGATATTCACGGTCACTAAAATCGTCAACAATGATTATTTGATGTAAAAGTTCCGCTGGCGTGCGATTAACTATACTGTGTAATGTGCGATACAAAACGCTGGGATATTCATTGTAGAATGGTATGACAACGGCTACAGTGGGCAACTGGGCGAGGTAATGTTTTAATTGGCACCTACGATATACGATTTACTGTATTTATATTTCTTTTCTTTTTTTTGCTTTTTTCGTTTTTATCATATTAATTTGTTCATTTACCCATCAGGTCTGGTATCAGGCAGAGAACGGTTAACTGATATAAAGTCTGAAAGCAGAGCATTGAAGCCGTTTTCCATGTATAATTGTTTTTGTAGATCGGCGAGAGTTTCGTTGTTAAGGGAAGCTGGAGCACCCTGTTCTCCTAAGCCTTCTCGTTTTTTATCTAATTCTATAGCCACGTAATTATGCCAATCCTTTAAGGCACCCGTGACTAGGGGCAAATTAAAAAAATTTTTATCAATGTAAATTTTATTCAATTCATTGGATTTGTTTTTAGTTGATGTATACGGTTTTGGAAAACGTCTCGCTTGTTTTTTTGGGGGCACCAGGTGGGCAAATCTTTCCTTTTGTTCAGCGCCTTTAAAAGGTTCCGTTATGGGATCTCCGTTGTTATCGACATTGTTCGCCACAATCGTTACAGTCGGCTTTGTTACATTATATGTTTTTGTGTCCATAAAAAATGCGATAACAACTGATGCAAAAAGCACAGCTAAGGTGCACAATAAAGGACTTCGCGACTTTTTTCGTTTTCTCGTGCTTTTTACCATTTTACTGACGAAATTGTGATACCAACGTACTCCGCCGACCAGTGAAACTGAATGCACTGAAGGGAAAGTTTAATGTCGTATCATACATAACTCAAGCTTAAAGTAATTAGTTTAAAAGCTTTCCGTTGTAACCATTATCTATAAGAGGGGTTCATAAGGCCAAATTGAAATTTTGTAAATATAACACTACACGATGCATACAGTTCTCTTAAAAAGCCTTCAAATAATTTTTAATTATCATATTATCTATAAACAATCAATTGACGGCATACCTATGTGCAAACAGAACAAACAATAGCTAATTGCCTGCTTTATAAGGCAAAATGTTTTTCGGCGTCTCACTAAACTATACTTGACGGGACGGTACATTTTTTTACATTGTATGTGTCCATGAATCTGTCTGTGTCTTTTTTCTAATGAACGTAGCGACAGCGTACTGCCAGCTAGGGATCCTACGACATTTCGGGTGAAACCATCTGCGAACCATTTTCGCATTATCTCAGATGTCGAACGAAGGTTGGCCTCATTCAGGGGTATGTCTTTCAAAAAACTAGCCCACTTCCTTCATCTTTAAGTGTTCTTTCAGCATAATTGCTAGTAGATAGTACGGTCTAATTTCGATATGAATTCGTTGCGCGCAAATGAATTTCTATCCTATCCTATTATACGAATTGTTTCCCATCTTATTTTTGTTTTATAGTTGCGGTGGCGGCGCACTTTTAACTAGGGGCCGTTCGGCACTTGGGATAAAACAATCCCGAAACCGCTTTCGCATCACTTCGAGGTACACCCTTATGGATTGTTGATCCTAACTATATCATCCTGCGCCCTCTGTCCTCGCATAGGATTAGGAGCTGGGTTATCGCCTTCGTATAGCTTTATGCCGATTTGGGATGAGGGTGTAAGTCCATCTTTATTTTGCTGTTATTGTCATTTGCTTAAAGTACTTTGTCGGGTAACTGTTCTGGTTCCACGGATATCATTATTATTTTTTTCAACTATTTTCGCCTCTTTTGCCGCTGCTCGTTAAGCAGCAGCTCGTTGGATAACATTCTTGCCAGGACTGCTGCCGCTGACGTTGATACTGTGCGGTAGGCTGATATCGTTTTCAACGTGCATAGCCTTTGAACTGTTTCTACCTTTCGCAGAAGATTTACTTTGCAGTACTTTTTCTGTCTAAATTGGTGCGACGTACATTATTACATATAAGTTTTCGCCTCGCTTGTTTTGTTCCGTTCTTGTTTGACATAATTTAGAGCAGGGCGGTTGCAGTTGCCAATGCTCCGTTGCATCTAATTGCACTCCAAGTTATCTCATATTGGAAGTGAGTCCGAAACAATCTCTATTTTTGATACTAGTACCAACCTTTTGTCCGTTACCCGCATGGCTTCATTTTTCTTCTATCTATTTGCTTGCCTGCGAATCTATCTTCTATGCTTAAGACTTTCGAAATTCACCAAAAAGAAGGAAAAGCATAATAGTCCGACAAGGGCGACTACTACATATATCTATGTCACATTACTTAGTCTAATTCTTTATTTACGTTTGTGACGATACGCCAAAATTTTAACTTATTTTGATGTAAAGGTTTACTGTAAATCGATTTAGAAAGTGATATTAAAGCGGTCGACATAATAATAAGGATGGGTCTGTCTTAACTCCTTCTAAGTGTTACATACATCTATTCAAACTTAGACCCGATTGTATCACAAGCTATGACAGGTAGAGACATCTTACTCAGATAGAGTGCATTTAATATTCCGGCATTTTATAGATTTCTTTAGAGTTAGGAAATAAATGGAACAAGATCGAAAAGATGCAAAAATTTCACTATTTAAAAGTTCATCTTGTTAATATATCGTGTCAACTGTATCAAAACATATAAAAAGTATTTTACTCAAAAGTATTGTCCGTGTTTTTCCTACCTTTCCATGCCAACAAATTTGGTGCTCTTTTAAGGCAAACCACTTATCGAGCCATTTTCGTCCATGTTCCCAAGAAGTAAGTTGTTGTTCAGCAGCTGCGTGTCCCATCGATGTAAAGAAGTGATAACCCGAAAGGCTTGACTTTGGTGAGTGAGCCACATTGGCTACCAGTTTCCAGTTGAGTGCTTCGAATATATTATGAACCGATTTTTTTCTGTACGGATGAATGGACGGCCATCAGGTAATAGAATGATCTCATATTGCTGTTTGTGATATTTCGCTAGGGTTTTTTTGACGAATAGTTCAGATCGATCATTTGTCATTGGTAGCAACGGTAGTTGGTAGCTAATAACAGACTACACACTTTTGGCCATGCCAAACACACAAAATATCAGTTTCCTGGCAAAGCGATTCAGTCTCTGGCTCTATCCATCTATTTGTGTTACTGGGATTCGTGTTAACGTGTCACTGTCGTTGTCTATGTGGATGATACGTCCATAATTGCATGCCCTTGCTCACGAGTGAGATGAGATTAAACTAAATTTTATTTGTACATAAAAATAAACATCCATACAAACAAATTGAAAAATTTTATTGCCATATAAAGATTAAAACACACGTAGCCGACCAAAAATAATTTTCTTAAAAAGTCTTCATGATTATTCTCTTTACTGGGACCAATGGGAAGGTAATCGTGTTTCGCACGCTATTGCGATAATAATACATTTGAAAGTTAATGGTAATGGAATAGTTATTGGTCAGCAAGGTCTGCACTCGTTACTTTCACTGGTTGCAACAAAAATTATTAATAAGAGATTATGAAGAACGAGTATAAAATACGAAGACTTTTTTTTCTGCTCCTTTTTCTCTTATTATTTACGTTATGAACGTGAACGCTAGTTTTCCTATTATTAGACACATATGTGCGCATAGGCACAAGTATTACATTAATAGAAAAGCGTACACACATACAATATGCTTGCTTTCGTATTCAACAATGAGTTATGAAGGCGGCTTTGATGTACGTGAATGAGTGAATATGAAAGTTAAGAACCGATCACTTTTCCGGACAACAGCCATATAAGGAATGGCATACAATAGAAAATGTGTGGAGTTATTTGTGTATAGATAGACAAATGTAGTATTGTATGATATATATAATAAATTATATAAATATATATATAAAATATATACGCAGTATAATTTTTTCTAAGGAGTAAGTTGAATAATTTGAAGTATCATTATGTCATATCATATAATAAATTTGGAAAATTTCAATGCGCATTGATGTTTGATATCTTGGCAACGTATCCATAAGTGATGTAAAGAGGAATCGGCAACGGTTCGTGTTTTACCGAATTCTATGGAGAAATCGGTTAGAGGACTCGACCGGAATGCTATCGAATTTTTATTGAGTTTATTCGCTCGGATTCACTGTTCGCAAAACAAATAATAATAATTAATTAAATTAAAGATTGAAGTATTAGAATGGACAAGGAAGAAATGACGATTGTTTGCTCGAAAGAAATATTCAGAAGAGTGCTAATAAATGCCTTATCCATATTATGCTCCGCAGCTAGTTACACATTTTTCCCATCACGTAAGGAAAACTCTTTCCATTCGTAATTTTATTATGTCATCAATATATAAAACTTTCGAGATTTTTATGGGAAAAACTGAGGCAAATCATTTTCCTTAAATTTCTTACAAAGTCAGCTTTGCACACTTAAAGTGAAGCGAACGGTAGTCAGAGTGAATAAGGTGTCGTGCAATTTGGCACAACACTTAACGATTGGGCACACATCCATTCCTTATCTCTTTGTTTTTCCCCATTCCTTTTCAAAGCATTTTCTGATGTTTCTGATATTAAGTTAGCACTTTGGAGAGCTTCATCTATCTTGGACAACGATTTTCCGATGCATTATTGTCACATGTGAGGCACTTTTCACCTTGCCCCTTATTAATTTTATTCAAAATTCCATTGATTTTAATTTCGGCAGCGATTCGCAAGTAAAAAGTCGGTTAATTTAAATTTCAATCGTAAATTCACGTGTTGCACACAAATATCTGGAGATAAGGAAATCGTTTTGGTGTTGCATTTCCATCATAAAGACCACAAATGTTTTCACAAATCTGTAAAACATTGTTGTCCGGGCAAAATTGATATGACATATATTGAATATTTTCAAAGTTTAGGTTCGTTTTCAAACCATATTTGAGTGGCCGAGTAAGCAAGAGTCCCGACCAGCTACTCAGCGATCGTGGGTTCAAGTCTCAAGTGCGGTAGACTTTTTAATAAAGCCAAAAGCCTCTAGATGCTAGTGCTTTATGGCTTTAGTCTGGGAAAATTAATAATAATAATAATAATAATAATAGTAATAAAAAATTTTACATTCTTTTTTTTTTCCTTTTTCTTTTAATTATCTGTGGACTCTCAGACATCACATGCGCTAAAGGGTCACTTGTAAGAATTAGTTTGACCAAATTTATTTGATTTTAAATTCATCTATTTTTCGTTGACGCAATATATATGCATACATATATATTACAATATGGATAGTGATCGCAACATTACGTAACGAATGCCGGCCACATTTCAATGCCCTTCACATGTACTTATCCGATGAGCAGTACATTATTAGATAATTGTGTAAGCAAAAGAATCGTATGCATACGTATGTATGTACATTATATAAGAACTTTAGTAATTATGAATGTGCTTTCGGATCGATTATCGTTATATTTGAACTTAACTTGACGATGTACAGAACTTGCCTACGATGCTTGTTTCGTACAAAAAGACAATAAAAGTGATTTACATCAACACACGTTCACCAATTCTTCGTTACTGAAAATTTGGTTTTTATTTAAGGACTTTTCTGCATAAGTACTTGAGAGAGAGATGAAATGAATGAAATAATTTTTAACAAATGAAAGCAATTCCAAAAGCACTATTCGCAAATTGGAAAGAGAAGCATATTTAAAAGCCAACAGAGTAGTAATCAGTTTCATATGGACTGTTATTTCGCTTCATCTACATTTGGACAAAAGAGCTTGCATTAGTTTTCATTAATGTGCATCCATATTACATCGTCAGTAATTCCCAGCACAACTTCATACGTCG